TTGATTCATATATAATGGTCATAGACCTGCGTATGGATACAGCCTACATGCCGTACCTACAATCAGGTAGTTTAGCAGATATGTTCTGTTTAATTCCTTGAATTATGGTTTCCTAACTTTTTCTAAAAAATTATATTTTTAATTATACTTTTTTCCATATTTATATGAAATTTGTTGTTGTATAATTTCTGTGAATGGTAAGACATGCCCCACAAAATATTCTGTTATTTCATTGGTAAAACCACGGTCCTATACTTTTTTTTATTAACTATGTTGCATGCCGGTAATACAATTCTGATATAGCGATTTGCGCCAAATGTTACAGCAACGCAATAAATAAGTATTTGGATTCTGAAAAACATGAAATTACTAACTGCAATTGATTTGATAACAGGACTGAAAAAAACTCTTTCTGGATTTAGATCCAATGACTACGATTTCAAACTGATATATGATGATACATTAAAGTTTTGCTTAATTTGATACAAAGATTCAAAAAGTTAAGGAAATTACAATTTCATGTACAGTTGATCCTAATAGATAAATAAATAGATAATAAAAGATATATAACATATTACAGAATCTAAAAAAGAAGAAATTAAGTATTCTTATTATTTTATAATAATATATTAGTCGAATATAGGTACAAATATATTAGAGTTTTTAAACTATTACATCATTTCATATTATAATATATCCATTCTATTTAACTATTTATAAAGTAAAAAACAAGGATAGGTCAAATATTGTCTCGATAGAGTTTTGAAAAACACATATCGTAATTTTTAAATACTTAAAAATGTCAAAAAAATAAATTTTAGCATGAGTATATTTCAAGTTTTAAAGAATTACAATAGGTAAATTAAAAAAAATACATTCGTAAGTATATATAAGTCAGGTCTTAAAAATTCGTATAGTTAAAATAAACAGTTTTATACAAACCATAGGTACAAAAGCGTACCTACTAATTTCATTGGAATTTTTTTTTTTTGTAATTGCATCATCTGTTGTTTTTATACGATTTAATATTTTTTTTGTTTTTTTTGGAGTTTAACATTTGTCAGATAATTATTGTGTGCGAATTATAAATAAACTATGATATAGTATATCGAACAGTGTACCGTTATTATTAACCGTTATTATCGATGATTATCAGTGTATCAGTGTATATGTCATAAGCATATAGTCAAATCAAATAAAGTTAAATGCCTAGTAATTTAATTAAATGACTAGAAATATGATTAAATACCTATTTAATGGCAGGCAAATAATAAAAAATCATTTTGTATTATTTTAAAAATTTAAATTTATTTTCTATCAGTTATTTATTGCTATTTTATACATAAAAAAATCAATGTATTATTTATTAATATGTAAAACACGTTGATATATGAAATAATATGTTTAATTTCATGTTCATTATTACTATTATTTTAAAAATGAAATCATAAATATATACAGGTAATAACTAATTAGATGTGATAGACGTAGATCATAATACGAGTATATTGTACACCCTATAATCAGTATGATTTGACTATATGCCTACGACATATACATTACAAATTTCTTTTACACATACCATAACATATATTCAATATTGGTTAAAAATTAAAACCAATAGTTTCCAAACTTTTTTGGTGGAAATGGCTTTTGGCGGAAACGAGAATCATACCTTTTTCGTTTTTGGCGGAAAAGGGCTATGGCAAAAACGGTCAATATTATTTTAGCGGAAACTGGAAACTCCCCTTGAAATGTACAACATTTTTTAATACAAATATGATATGTACTTATTATTTCTAAATTTTTATTATATAATCTAGTGGTTTTATTTTAAACAAATAAGTAATAAAATTAATTCAATTTATGTAAATTTTTTTTTATAAATGTAGAAATTTTGATATTGGTGGGTTTAAATAGTTCAAGATCATATTTTAATCTAATATCACCCACGTAACCTTCCGAAATCGTTATTCAATATCAGCTACTTCGAATAATCGAAAATTACTTCCATTTCTTCAACCTTGCTATGTATTTTAAATTTTAATATCAATACTTCGTCATGAGTACTAAATTAAGTTTACTTGCTATATCTTGTATTTACATACCTTAAATGTCGATATAGAAGTTACAAATAAATTTTTGGGTAACTTATAGGACTACACAAGAATGTCATAAATTATATAATGTATTATTTGAGTATTTCTCTACAACTTCGTAATCTAAATATTAGTTTGCGTGTCATAGTATAGTAATGAATGTCTATTCCATTAGACTTGCACATACCTACTTGATGAACATTTGGTATTCACTTAATTCACGAGACATTTTCCTATGCCTATTCCGTCATCATTAAACTGTAAACATAATTCATTTAAATCCTCTCGTGTACTAGTACCTTTATGTATATACGGTCATTTTGAAGAAATCCATGAGTATTTTTTCAACCAAAATCACTTGAATTAAAATAGTTGTACGTTTTGTCTTATTAAATTAATTACCTACTTAGTGCATAACATTCATATTATGCACATAGTTTTCAATGTATTCAATAACCTTACAGAACTCTCCTCATACCCAAACACACTTTCTTACAAGTGACAACTCACAACGAAGGTTAAAAAGGAACTGACGCAAAGATCTTTTACTTTGTAAGAAAATACAAGTATAATTATATACATTTTTATTCAACATACATCCATGAGCCGGGTGCCACTATTGGGTGCTTTCCCTTATCTATCTTTCATCATAATTCATCAAATTATATCAAACCTACCTACTCATTGTATACATTTTGTACGTAATCGTATTAACTAAATAAAAAATAGTCTTTAAGAAACACGTGAACAAAAATGTATATCAACCTTTTCATATTTACTCATTATATTAAAAAATAAAATATTATAGAACTAAATTCGAACAACACAAACACTTAATTCACGTATCAAATAAGCTCTGAATTTAATATATTCAATAAATATACTTCAGTGAACAAATTTTCGACCATTTTAAAAATTTGGCACCCCTAAAATGTTGAAGCTCAGGGTGATTGTAACCGTATCCCCCCTTAAATGCGGCCCTGTATATATATAGTCAGATAAATTACGTAAAATGGTAAAATATTGATGTTCTGTAATTTTATTAAGTGTTGACTATTTACAAGGTATATTGTAGTCATAGTTTATATATATGTGGTATACACACTTGTCTTGCACAAAAATTGCAATGAAACGGCATGATAATATTTGGTTTAAACGCAACGAGTCTTCGAACGTACTTCGAACATAAATCGCGTGACTATTATCAGTGATATTTAACCGGATGGTACGGACCTTAACGTTCCACACACACACACACGCACCTATTTATATTATACACATAGATGAGATACGTATAGATATAAAAGAAACTGCTTGTCAAAAGACCAAAGTTCGAAGTTTTTTCGTCGTTAAACAAAGTTAAAGGTCATTCAAGATATAGGTTAAATCTTTTTAAATTATTTCATGTATAATTTTAACAAAATAATTTTAAATTTTAAAAAAAATTGCTCAACGTTACAGTATGAGAGAAACAAAAAAATTAAAAACATATAAACTTCATATTATTTCAATAGATAATAGTAATTCATAAACTTAGCTTACAAAGCGAATAAATTGTATTTCCCAAATTGTATTCATATAAGAAAAATGTAGTTCGGATTTTTGTTTTAACGCATGGTAATACATTTATGAAATGTTTTTTACTCGTTAGGAACAACTAAGACGATTGGTTTAATAAACATAACAATTATATTTCATATTGCGAATATTCTTACGAAGAAAATACTTTTTAAGTTATCAAAATAATGTTTCGAAAAATTGTTTAAATTTTTAGTGAGCATAAATTGATTTATAAATTATTTTAAATTTGGAATAAACTTATTACCTAGTTGTTGATTATAAAATTTAATCGTTATGCCCGCAGAAGTCATAGGTCACATTTTTTTGGATATTATTCGTATGTGAATTTTTTTTAGAGAGCACAAAATTTGCGATTTTTTTTTCACAATTTATTATTTTACTGTTTTGGAATCAAATTCTATTGTTTACGTATATGTAGTCTCTAAAAGAGATTCATGCCTATCATGTAATATATTCATCTAAATGATAGTTTAAATGGTTATAAAATACAAGACTACACATATGTAATACAATAAACAGACAAATTTTATATATATATATATATATAAAATTTATATTACTAATTTGACAGAGTTTCGTGTTTACACATCATTTTCTGGAAAACGATACAAGTTAAATTAATTTTTTTCTCGACTGTGCTAGTTGAAGTATAGATTAAAAATTGATTTGTCAGGAATATTATGTCACGCAATAATACATATTTTTTTCACAGTTTGTAAACGACCGCGAAAAAATATATTATAAAAGTATATACAAATATAAATAATATTTAATAAAACATTATTCCATTCTTCTTTGTGGTGTGCGTATTTAAGTAAAGGTGTATTATATATAACCACGTATAATAACATAGGTAGCATTTTTTCGTGACCCTAAAAAAAAACCTTGAGAAAGTCACCAGAAACGTCAATAAATCCAGCAAGCAACATTAGGGTGAACCACAATAAATTAGAGAAGTTCTTCTCGCTCAATGAATTTATATTAATGTTTATATTTTGTTAAAAATATATTTGATTGAAAAAAAATAAAATAAAAATATTTTGTTATAATTAAAACAGTTATTTTAAGCTGCTTGTAACACAACAGGTGTTGAATCGCTCCCCTTAGCGTCCCCTTAAGTAAAACGCCCCCCCTAAAAACTAAATAATTTCATATCGCCCACGTTGGGAATCACTGTTACATAGTAGTAAAATAAACTTGAAATTTTATTACAGATGGATTGTGAGTACTAAATACATATTTAGTACTCATGTATGTTGCTATTTAATGTAATTATCATTAAAAAAAAAAAATTATCAAATATAATTTTTATGTTTCAAGGTACCATACTAGAAAATAACTATTCAATTTAAAATGGGTGGAATAAAACAGAGCCAATGGACACCAACTAAAAGACGTGGTCCAATAGCTGCTGAATTTTCCGGTCCTGGACCAGCTGCAGTAGCACTACCAACACTCGTCGGTGAGTTATAAAAATTTAAACTTAAATAAGTAGTAAGTACTCTTATATTGTGATATCCATCAAATGTTAACAGTGGCGGATCCATGGGGGAAGGTGTTAAAACAAAATAATTTTAATCATACTTGAATTATTTCTGAATCTATATAATATTATAAGAATTAATAATTATTAAATTTATCATGCAAAATATATTTTAAAGATGATTACTTAATTTTTTTCAACTGCATAAACTAGTCGATTTCAAAAAACTTTAGTAATAGCTTAGTGAAATGTTGTTGATAGAAAAATATTACAATTTACGTATTTTAAAATAAATATAAATATTTACCTACAAATATTTTAATTAATATGAATATAAATACTTAGATATGCCATAAAAAATTTAATTAGTACATTTTTTCTACTTAAAGTATAATATTAAAAGTAATACTTATTATCAACAATACATGATGTTTTATTATCAATTTATGATTTATAAGTAATCCTGAAATTATAGGTTAATAATAAATGATTAATCATCATTGAAATATCCTTGTAGGATGGTTTTTCATTTTTATATGGTTATGAGCTCACAGTAGGTACATACATTACATACTTATATTATATATATATATATATCAATGATGTAACATCATGTATGATAGTAATTTTTAATACAAACTGTGGGAAATTAATGGCTTTTGTTCATTTTATTCAGATTAATTGATATGAATATTATAAACTAATAAAATTTCTTCATTATTTCATACTTATTATATATTTTTTTATTATATAATACATTTAAATAATCCTTTATATTTATTATACCTGAAAGGATACACAAACTGAAATTTGAAAATAAGATTCTGAATAGATACCCAAAACACTAAAAAGAGCCGACTACCAATATGTTATAATCTACAATAAAATATTAATGAACTATTGCTGAACGCAAATGATAATGAAATGTTACTCTTAATGTTATACTTAATTTGACGTCTTTAAATCCTACAAAAATTGTTCATATAAATTATCTTAAAATATTACGAATTAAAAGTATAACTTACTCATTTTTTATATCATAAATCACATAGTAATTAATTTGACCTATTCTAGATTATTATCCATAATCGAATAATTAAAAAAATAAATACGTTACACTTAATAAACACAACTCAGAATATAATATGTAAAAATAAAATAATATTATTTACCTGTATCATTTTTCTTATAAGTTAATACGCACAAAGCATCATTATTTTACATGCATTACAAAATAATTTTAGCCACATGTATTGTTATTAATTATGTAATTTATAAAGTTCATGACGTATTGTTAAGAGCTTATTTATTGTAATTAAATAAATAATTGAGAACTGAATTGAGTATAATTATTATTTAAGTGAAAATTAAAAAGCTATAATATACGGTACAGCTACTTTTAAATTGTCAAGTCTATTTTATTATTTTAAATTTTGTAAAATGTGTGTATAAATTATATTAGTGAATAATAAGTTTAATATTTTTTTTTCAAATATTTTTTATTTTATTTTTTTACAGGAAATTTAGTACCGGAATCTAAACGTGGACGCGCCCCAGCCTTCAGTTTTGGTGCTAGGTATGTTATATTTTTGTTTTTATAAGTTTTACGTCTCATAATCACACACTTTTAAAAAAAAAATTTTAAAAATTATAAAAACTACATCAACAAATATGTACTAATATTTTGAAGTAGAAGAAAACATGATTAGTGAATAAGTTCAACATTTAAAATCAAAAAATCAAATAAATACAACTTTAGTATTTTAATTTATTTATAATTTAATATAACTTACTATTTATATGCATTAATATGAATATGCCTATTCTTAATATTATAACTCGTTCCATTTTTAGGCACAATGAAAAAAATGACAGCGCAGGACCCGGACCAGGTCAATACAACATTACTGGACTAAGCTCAAAAGGTTAGAATAATAACAATTAATCGCTATTCACATAAACCCTATTACCTTGTACATTGTATACATGAATATAGGTTATAATAAATTAGAAAACTTGATTACTTCGTAATTGGACTATTTCAAACTTCAAATGAATGCTGAGAACTGAATACTGAACTATCAAAATATTAATGATTTAAAGTATGATGACTAAAAATCCAATACTTTGATTTAAAGTAAAATGTATTTTATACTTTTGCTCTTATTAATTTAAACAAATGGTTGAGTCTCAATTAACCTTTAATATGTCGAACCAGAAACCGCTGGCACCATACTCATCTCCCCAGTGACAAAAGTCACTATAACAACATTGCGTGCTCCCTTAAAAACCTCCCACGCATTCAGAACACAGAAATGTACCAACAATATAGACACTCTTTAACCAACTCAAACAATTCTATTTGGAAAGCTACTAAAAGAATTCTAAATAAAAAAAATCAATACCACCAATTAGATATCTTGACAGATCCCTTGCTAAGACCAACTTAGAAAAATCAAACCTTTTTGCCTCTATTCTAGAAAACAATTTTACTCCTCACCCCGATGTAAACAACATCGATCACACATCTTATATTGACAAAGCTCTAACCAACTGCCTTCCTATGTCCTTACCCACAAAACATTCCTCCCCCAGCGAAGTTAAATGTATTATCAATAAATTATCAAACAATAAATCACTAGATCACGACCTAATAACAAATCGAATAATAAAACAATTGCCCAAGAAAGCTATTCTTATTTTAACCTTCATCTACAACTCAATTCTTCGTCTCTCCCACATTCCTCATTCATGAAAACACTCTATAATTATTCTAATTCCAAAACCTAATAAGCCTCATGATCTAACTTCTTCATATCGACCTATCAGCCTTTTACCTTCTTTCTCAACAATCCTAGAAAAGATTATACTAAAGCGATTAAACCCTATATTAACAAGACAAAATATAATCCCCCACACTCAATTCGGTTTCAAAAATAAACATTCGTCACTCCATCAAGTCCACAGAATAATCGACATAATTTCACAAACTCTTGGAAATAAACAGTACTCCACTGGTGTCTTTCTCAACGTAGCCCAAGCGTTTGACTACGTCTGGCACGAAGGCCTCTTGTATAAATTATGATTTTTACCAGCCCCCCTGTTCTTAATAATAAAACCTTTTCTACATAACCGGTCCTTCGTTGTTCATTGCGAGGACGAACTCTCACAAATCCACTACATAAAAGCAGGCGTCCCCCAGGGAAGTATTCTAGCACCTACACTTTATAACATATTTACTTCCCACATTCCTCACTCCGAGAATACCACTCTTGCTACCTTCACAGATGACATAGGCATAATCTCAACTAATGTTGACCTAACCATAGCATCTTATAATCTACAAACCCATCTTAATGAACTACAAAACTGGTTCAATTTGGGGAGAATCAAAATAAATCCAAATAAATCTACCCACATAACCTTTACTCTACGTCCAGATCATTGTCCTCCATAATCCTCAACAACGACACGATTCTCAAAACACAAGCCACCGGTTACCTCGGAGTCCACCTCTACAGTAAACTCACTTGGGCATATCACATAAAAACAAAAAGGAAATCACTAAATTTAAAACTCCACAAAATGAAACACCTTACATCAAATCTCTCTCTCAACATAAAACTCGTAATCTATAATCTAATTCCTCGCCCTTCGATGACTTACGGAATACAACTATGGGGTACCTCCAAAAAATCCAACATTCAAAAATTCCAATCCTTCCAATCAATTTGCGTTCGCCTCCTCGCCAACGCCTACTGGTATGTTAGCAACCTAACACTCCACTCTGACCTCAAAATCCCAAACATAAATACCCTAGCCTCCCACTACTATAAATTATTTCACAACAACACAGTCAGCCACCCTAATCCACTAATTTCCAATCTCTCCTCCCTCACTCTCCTTAACAACCCTTAACCTCCTCAACCAATAAAAAAAAAAAAAATAATAATAATAATAATAATAAAAGTCTAGAATTGAAGTAGTGTTGTTTGGACAACCCCTTCCATCAAGCCGTTTTTGTAAATATGAACCGTATTACTTATTGTATAGTATAATACAGATTGTATATATTTTTGTCTTTTAAATAAAAAAAAAAAAAATATAATATTATTGTTTTGTCTTTATATTATTCTTATTATACTGTTATGTATAAACATATATTCACGTTCGGTTCGACACTATACGTTATATTCTCGTGGTTTGTTTGTTGCGCAGGCAAGGACACGCCGCCGGCTGCCACGCTGCACTCAAGGCCCAAGGAAGTGAGACCGGATAACTTCCCGGCACCGGGCGACTACAACCCGGAGAAAGCGGAAAAAGTGATCCACGAACACTCGCCCCAGTACACGTTCGGGCTGAAGACGCAAGTGGACAAGCCGAACCCGAACCCCGCACCCAACGTGTACAACATACCGACGGTGATGGGCGCAGCCAAGGAGGGACACTTCAAGGCGGCCCCGTCGTTCAGCATCTCGGGCCGCACCAAGGAGTTCCCGGACGGGCGGCTGCTAAACCCTGGCCCCGGCGCTTACAACGACGTAAGCGCAGACAGTATTAAACCGAAATCACCAGCGTACACGGTCAGCGCTCGGTATAACATGCCAGGCGACAGTTCTCCTAGACCTGGGCCCGGAGCTTATTCCCCCGAAAAGGTTAGTCAGTCTTCAGGGATGATGCGACGCGCGCACCGAGGTGATGATAAACCTATACACTTAAGCGTGCGCACGGGGTAGTCAAGATAGGCACTTAGCGGCTCTGTGAACCTTCCCTCCCTCACCAAAATCATTCAATATTATCACAATTATAAATAACCATATTATGTTCAACCTCTTCGAAATAGAAACAGTAAACAGTATCTACACGTATAAGAATAATGGAAAAATGTAACTATTAAGTTAAATGAAGTTACCCATCTAAATGTGTTGTTAATATTAAATGTTAATGTGTTATGTATGACTACCCTGCTAGTAGTGCCTGCGCACGCGTATGCCTATACATTGTTATACAATCAAATCCTTATGTGATCGGGATGAATTGTGCTTATTTTGTTTGAATTGCACGTGAGTCTTAAAAACAGTTGATGATTGAATTCCTTTCGGATTTTTTTTTAATTCAATTCAAAAGTGTAAATAATAGCTAATGTTTTTATGGAAAATAAAAATGTATTATGATATTGCATTTTTAAAGACTAATCGTTTGAATCACGATATATTTTCTGTCAAAAAAATACCAGAATTCCATTGTATCCTGATTCAAATGATTAGTCACTAAAAAATAAAAATACAATATCATTGATTAATTACAAAAACATAAAACAAATAATACCTTTTTTACTGAAGTGCAGTCCGATAATGTAAATGTAGGTAAGAATTGTAATTTTATTGATCCCGGGTTGATGGGTTGAACCATTGACGAAAACTTGGATCTAGGTAGAAAACGATCCGTGCGTAAATATATCCATGCACGATTAGTCGTCTAATACATTTATTCTTCTTAAGCCTATATAGAACACTCGGACTTCATATTTACCTTTAGTAGTTGGCTGTGGCATCGAACTACTTTTTAGTAGATGGTGTAAACACAAATTTAAACCACTAACCCACCCACCCATACCTAGATACCCTGAATAATATTATTTTAATTTAGGTCCAAGGTCAAAATATATATTCTATTTGTTTCTTTAATTACTTGGCGATCAATGATCAAAGTATTATCATATTGATATTAAGTAGATACCTAATACCTATTGGCTACTTAGTACCTACAAGTTGTTCATACTTAAATAGACCCAGACTGGATCACCTACACTCACCCCCAATTCTAGGTGGTATAAATACACCGCCTTAAATATGTATTCAGCGTCATTATTTAAATGTCACAAGTCGTCACAACACCTTAATTTTTAGATTTCGTCAATACTAGTGCGCAGCGAAGAGAACCAATAGAAATCGTACAACAAACTAGTATTTATGGTATTTGCGTCGCAGTATTCCGCAGTCGGTAGGCATCATTGACGGATTTCCGATAAGGCTTCCAGGCATAGGCGCAATTTGGGGGGGGTGCTTGGCACCCCCCATTTTCGAAATTAGCACCTCCAAATATGTTTATGTTAATTTACATTTAAATACTCTTTACTCATTATGTATAGAAAAACATAATAGTTTTTGAGTTTTTTTGTATAAATACATAAATTTTTATACAATACGAAAATATTTCACAATACGAAAAAAACATATCTTTGCTATAGGGTGAAAGTTTCAAGATTCAAGATATATTTTTTCATTTTTATTTTAATACTAGTAGCTGTAATAAAAAAAAAAAAAATGCATTTTAGTAAAATGTAATAAGTAGTTTATTATTGTTATTATTATATAGGACACCTACACTATTTTTAAAGCAGTATTGAAACCCATGTGGTTTTTATCTATTAATATATAGCTTATATATATATATATATGTATACTTCTCATAAACTATCGACTTATTTATGGATGCATTTTTACGGTTCATGGTCAATAGGTAATAAAAGAAAAAAACACTTGCTTTTACGTGATTTTCTCAATGAAATACTATATCTGATTACGTTTGGACTCCAACTTTGACCAATCACCGCGAATTGGTGGAACACTATAACCAGTGTAGCAAGTAATCAATCAACCCACCAGTATCAGAAGTTGTAGTGAAAATTATAATGACTACAACTTTGGTCAATACAATTTTTAGACAACAAAAACCATACCTTCATATTAGTTACCCCCCCCCCCAACTAATTTTTCCATAATCACTATTCATCAATTTACCAAGAGTTCAAAAAGCTTGGTCATGAAAATCGCAACTAAATTTCTCTAACACTGAAATATACTGCAATAAATTTAATATTCTTTGGCTTTTACAGTTTTTTCCTTATTTTTAATTTTTATTATTATAATTATAAATCATTATAGTACTTAGCAAACAATGTTTGGTGAAGTCACACCTTTCGCCTAACCCTTTGACTCGCACTGTCAGTCCATAAAGTATAATCTCTTTAAATTTACTTCTAAGATTACAAGTATTGTTCTTTACTAATCTGTACTCTAAATCAGCGGTCGCCAACCGGTGGTCCGCAAGAAAATTTAGGTGGTCCTAATTAAGAAAAATTTGAACGTTAGAATCTTTTTGTCATTATTTCCCAAAAAAAGAAAACCTTAGACACGATATTATGTGGAAAATAGATCCATTTGCAGCAAACATTGAAAATAACAATTTAAATATGACCGAAAAAAAAATACCTCATCGATTTATTTAACGGTATTTATGTAAAAAGCTATTTTAAGCTAAAAGTAGTTCGTAGAATTAAGAGTATGTATTTAGTGACCCGTGAGGTCTAAAATGTTGGCGACCGCTGCTCTAAATGACACCAATGACACCAATACTACACTTCATATATAGTAACACTGAAGTCCAGTGCTTAATTTAAACGATTTTACAAAAAATAAAGGAACCACGTTATTAACGAAATTTAAATTGTATTACGCCTGTGTTGATATGAAATGAAAAGGTATTCTTAAAAGACTTCAATTTGAATTTTTTCAACTATTTAATTGATTCATCTCCACTTAGATTGTATATAGTCTCCAAAAATAATTAATGGTTACACCACATATTACCTACATACAAACCATATAAGAATAAACATTCAATAGGCATCTGTTTAACGACTCCAAATCTCAAATACTAATCATGCTTACTACACTTGAAAGGGAATTATGATAGCTTATATCAGAGACATACAATCAGTGGAGTATTTTCAATATTTTTTATGGTGAGCTTTTAAATTTTTCTAAAAATAATTGATTTTATGAAAGAATAAATACGAATGAAGTTATTTACAACCACATGTAATGAATTAATGTTTTTTTCTCTATACGTTTGTATCAAGTCATTTATGACTTTTGAACCTTTTCTTTTTTCTGGGTGGAGATTGAAACCTAGGATACCCCCCTCCGGAAATACGTCAGTACATAAAATATAAGACGAATTTCTTTCTTAATCTCTTCTTAAAAATCAGAGGTGTGCCAAAGGCCGGATTAAAGGGGGGGAGTCTAGCTGGGGTGGTAGCCCTAAGGCTTTTTCTTGTACCCAAATAAAAGGGGCCCAAACAATTTTAAGCTAATCACATTTTTTATCATACTAAAATTAGTAGTTTTATAGACACAAATTGTATATACCTATTAATTTTATAATTTTATAATGCAATTGTTGCGTGCCGTCAGTTCAATCGTAAAGATGGTGGTGATTTAGAATATATTCCAAATAAAATACTCAACTAAGTTAAACTGTTTATTTGAAATTTCTCTAAGTACAAATAATTAATTTAACAAATGATCTGGCATGGAGGTGCTCGCTAATACATGTATAAACCACATCTGAATATTGGTCTATTCCCAACCCCCTTATATACTTAGGTCTTGTGGGAATTGGCCGCGCTTTTCTATGTAATAAGTTATTTCCAATTATTGTTACTACCCTGAGGTACTAAATTGTAATTTAAATGGTTGACCTCAATAATATTACTATTCGCATATTTCTCGCATTTTGTTATGCTCTTTTATTAATTGCATTTATTATATTACTTTGAAATGTAACCTGACAGCTCATATTCGTGTCTTAATCATTCCTTTCTATATTGTTCACCGATTTCTACTATTTATGTGATCCCCTTATGTATTGGTAGTTGTAAGGACCTACATGTATGTATGTCCGTAACATCGTGTTATCCTCTAATTAAATTAATAGTTCCTTTCTATTGTTGAGATTATTATATTATTTGTAATCATTTCCCGATCTCTATTATTACGATTTATGTGGTCCCATCTATGCAGTAAAAATCGTAAGGACCTACATCTATGTATGACCGTAACACAATTGACAATTTGTGAAATAGTTAAAAAAATTTATCGTTTTGTGAGCGTAGCGAGCAGCTTTGTAAAGTATGTTTTGTCAAAAGGGCCCATGTAAAATTTTAGCCCCGGGACCCAATAGGTGTTTAATCCGGCCTTGGGTGTGCCTAGTTAGACTTTGGTCCACCATAAATTGTCAATGGTAATATGTACACTCATAATATTTTCAAATATAAGCTTTTTTGAAAAGTACCCTATAAATAAATATAAAAATAAATAAAAAATTATTTTTTTCTACAGTTGACTCGCCCAAAACAAAAAATCTTAACACAATCATTTTAAAGAAAATCTGAATTCAGTACTGCAACGAGCATACAATTTTACTAATCATTTGTAGATAATATTTTTCAATGAAAAATTACAATACAATTTTGAATATAATTTTTATATAACAGGTTATATTGTTATAAATTAATCATTTATTCATAACATATATAATATACAGATGTTTTAATAATACAAAAAAGAAAATATCACAAGTCACATGTTAAATATAATATTGTTATACTAATATAACAAGTTTCAAATGATATATTTTAGGTGACTATGTTAAAAACATCAGTACCATCATATTCTTTTGGTATACGACATTCTCCATATGAAGGAATAATATACGAACAAGACTAGGTCAGTGACTATAATATGAACACCATATAATATGAATATGCACTTTTGGCAAAATAATAAAATATCCAATATTCGCATCATTTGACTAGATTACAATAATTTAAAAAACACACCCTGCCTTATGTTTTTTTTTTCACATAATAGAGAGCACAAATTATAATAGAAAAGTAGTTAAGTAATATAATTCAGAATAGTTATAAGCTAGTAAATAATGTAACAGCTACAAACACAAATTAATTAAAGAAAAAAATAAATTTATAACTAATGAATGATCAAGATAATAATAATTTACTTGGAAGGAAAAAAAAATTCTGTACACAACTCTGTGGGAAAATTCAAAATAAATAATATTATGAAAAAAATTGAACTTGTTAATATCAGTTAAATGACTATAAATTGAATAATTAATTGCACAAACAAAATCTTTAGCTGACGAAATATTATTTTTTCAATAGATTAAATACACGTATTTTGGCCTTGAGCATTTTACAATAGTTATAAATAGTAGACAAAACATTCATAATTTGCTTTTGGCATTTTTGAAATTTAGTCATGGCTCAACTAGTAAATTAAAAATGTATTAATTTTAACAAATTTTAATAATAATGTTTCAGGTTCAAATTGATTTGCAACCAGCACACTCATTTGGAATCAAACATTCTCCGTATTCTCATAGTTTTGGCATTGGTTACTGAATGAAAATGAAAACTATTTAACAACATTATTGATGCTCCTAACAAAATATATTGCTTTTGAATACGAAGTGAAACTACCGATAAAACAATTTTCAATAATTATACTACACTATAAGTTTCTTTTTTTTTTTACAGTAAAATTATTATTATCAAAATCATACGAAATATGAAAATGTATCCAAAAACTAACAATAAAAAATAAACAAATGTAAGGAATACATTAACCTATCTTAAAATTGTAACTTTAAATAAATATATTAGTTATACAATGATTTATTGGTGAGTTTTATCTATGTACACTTATATAATAAAAAAAATAAATACAATAGTACTTTGTGGAAAAAGTATATTTTACATATTTTTAAAATCACCAGTTGTGTTTAACATCAGTATATTAGGATTCTCTTTTTCAAATTCAGTAGGAGCACGTTCTCGTTCATCATCGCCCCACTCACCAAGTGTGTTCATAACATCAGGTTGTTGACTTAAAAATTCTTCTTCTTTTTGAGCTAAATTATCATTATTAATAAAATAATTTTAATTATTAAAAAGAAAAAAATTATAACTTACTATCTCTCTTAGCAAATTTTTCAAACATATTTGAGTAAACCGATTTTTCTATTTTCTTTTGAGATTTTAATTTATTAACACATTCATTTATTTTTGCTGTAGCTGCACGGTTATTTGGTTCATATTGTAATACCATTTCAAAACATTGTTTAGCAGCAACTAATTCATGTAAGCCGATCAAAGCCTATAAAAATTAAATAATTAAAAGAATGTACGAATATTAGAAATCTATACTCTACAGAGACCTCATTCAATGATCAATGAAAATATCACTACAATAACTATTAAAAACAAGGAAAATATCAATTCATAAAATATTGATTAAAATTGTAATTTATATTTGACTTGATTATATACAAGCAGTAAAATGTATATTTTAAAAATTAAAAAAGTATACTACATGTAATTTATAACTATTAAAGTTGTTTACATTTATACATTGTATTAGTTTTTATAAAACAATATTGAATAATCAGTTAAATAAAATTAAAATTAAATTAACAATGATGCTAAAATTATTTAAAGTTTTTTCAATGAGTAAAAATTATTTTCATAAATATTAATAAACATTTAATTGAAGAATTGATTTTTATAGATAAAAATAGATAGCTGAATATGTTTGAAAACATATGTCAATTTTCATTCTTTATTAAATGACATTTCAGATGGTTATATAAGACTATGACATTTTTAATAAAAAAAAATAGAATCAATCTTCCCTCGAAATCACCTAATAAATATATTTATTATTTTCAAAATTATGCAAATAATTTGGCAAGCAAAATTAAGAGAAAACACTTGGATCCTGTCTAACATAATTTCTTACCTACAATTTTAAAGTTTTTAAAAATTATAAAATTCACTATAAAAGAAAAAAAAATAAAAATAATTTACTGTCACAAGTAAAATTAATACAGTTGTTTAAATAATATATTATCGTAATTTGAAACTTCTTATGCTTCAACAAAACTGATTTTTCATCTTATCAAAACAGCTTACAGTTAACTTTATAAAAGAAATGTTTAAGTGATACTAGACTTTTTTACAACATAAATTTAAATTTTTTATTTTTAACAATAGATCCTTCCAAATAATTTAAATATAAAGAGTTTAATATTTAATAAAATTATTGTTAATAGATTATTAAAACATTATACAACCAATATTTTTTGCATACGATCTACATTTTACCAAAGATATACGTACTTCTCCTTTTCTAAAAATAGCTTTGATATTTGTAGGTTCTAAACGTAAGGCACTTTCACAATCATTTTTAGCTTGAGTATGTCTATTTGATTTTAGATTACATAAAGCAGAATTTAAGTAAGATACAACTGTAAGACATTTGATTTCTCTCATTTGATCTTCATTTACTGAAATTTATCAATAATATTAACAATACTTCATAATTATATAAAACTATTTGGAATACAAATTAAAGAAAAATAAATACTTGAAACATCATCATTTAAGTAGTCAATCATTTTCTTGTAAAATTTAAGGGCTAATTTATAATTGTCCAATTTGTAATAATCCGTCCCCTTTTGCTTAAAAAATTTAGCTTGTTCAATACGATCTTCACTTGTTAACGACCAACTGTCTTCAAACTGCAACATAATATAAAAAAATAAACATTAAATCCAATCCAATCTATGTGCATATTACATATATATACGAACAATTGCAAATTATTTATAATATTCATTTTTACCTTTTCAAAAAAATTAAGCTTAATGACATACACTTCATTAATTTCATCATCTTTAAATTCTAAAGAGTGCTTTCCGTGAATAAATAGTCTTGACTTCTCTTTCAATTTAAATTTAGTTAACGCTATTTCTATACCAGGACAAATACCAAAAGCTTTGCCTTCTCCTAATCTAAATTCTACATCTTTTTCATCAACAACACAGCCATTTTGTTCTTGTTCTAAGTGAATATTTACTAATGAAATACTACTAGGTGTAGCATGATTTATTCCAGGTTCTATTATTTGTCTAGTAATACTTCCATCTTTCCGACGACTGATATCTTCCCATGACCATTTAATTAAATGTATTTCAAATGTGAGCCATGAGTTGGGTGGGATGATTTTTTCAAAACCATCAGAGCCATAAGCATAATCTGGATGGCACCTAAATATTGAGATCTCATCTAAATTCATTGTGGTTACAGCCAATTCAAATCCTTTAATAGTCATATCTAAGAGAAAACAAAAATATCAGAATTATTAAAGAAACCTGTAAAATGTAATCCAAATATAATTCCTAACCTTTTCCAATTGTAAATTGAAACGGTGAATCTTTTGTCTTGTCAAAAACTGTACCGTCTGATAATGTACCAGTATAATTAACGTAAACTCTACATCCTTTATGTGGCTTGTCGGTTCCAATGCCATTCCGTGATAACTCCTTCAAGACTCCACCGTCTAAATTATGCGTGATGTCCATTATCGCATATGATATAAGTTTACCTAGGTTAAGCGAAGAAATAGTACGGTCATTATTGATTTTATTGCTAAGGAGATATTTAAGATGGTGCAAGTGCAAGTGCTTTTATACACATGCAATACAACTAGGCGAACGTAATAAATTACTTGGCAATGTGTATTTTATCGGATTCACAAATATTCAAGTGAAACAATAATTGTAATCCAAGTAATCGTTGCGCGGCATAACAGTGACGAAATGATAGTCTTGTGATGACTATACTTGGGTGCACATCGTTTATTAGGAGACCTTTGTGCGAGCTGAACTTGACGTACACTACGACGAAGAGGTGATCGGCTTTGCGATGCGAGACGAGAATTGCGGCGAACGTGTAAAACAGAACTATACTCAAGATTTGAAAACCGTTATCACTGATATCGCAGAAGAATATTTAAGGTTATCACGGTGCAGCGTAGCCAACGCTCGGAACCAGTTTTGCTCGGCCGCGGATGCACTGCCATCATATGTTCGTCCGAATTCTGTCCTCAGAAACTGCACTATATATATACATAAATACCATATCCCGCACTCCACACGCACGCTATAAATGTATACTATATAGTTTTCTTTTATTTTTTTCTTTATTATTTTTTTTTCTCTACTTATCGCATTGTTCCGCGAGCCCTTCTCGTGTTAATTCGTCGTGTTTACGTTTTTACATACGAATACACCGTAATCATATCATCTCTCACTGTGTCGCGCGTTCGTTTTCCCCGAACATCTCCTTGGCTCGAAAGCTCTGAACTTAATCACCGTAGCGCAATAGTGATTCCCTATGAGCGAACGATTATCATCATTATTATGTACGTGTCTGCGCAACAATTATAAAAATAATAACAACAATCAAGTGTAATTGACAAATCGATATTCGTGTAAACAACGTAATCCGTGACACGACGGTCACATCGAGCCCCCTTCCCCCTCCACATCCGTACGTTGGTGCGAAACCGTAGCGCGTTTCTCGTTCGTTTGTTTTTACTATATTTTTTGTGTTTTTCGCGCTATGCCGTCCGTCCGTCACCGTTCTCGCGCGTGTTTCCCGTGAACCGAGCTTCGGGCCACGACGTGCAGCAGTCAGTCACCGGTGCCGGTGTTTCAGTTTGGAAGGATCGCCGAACGCGTTTTCCCGAACCGACTTCACCCGCACTTGCGATGCAATCTTGAATCGTTTGTTATTGATCCGGTGCGTCTAAAGTGAGTGTACACTTCGTCGTCCATTCCGGGGGACTGCATTCCGAGGCAGCGCACGGCAAGGTCGTCGTCTCTCGCCTCGGCCCCGGAAAACCCGTTTAAGGGTAAACGTCCTTCGTTACGCCCCCACCCCTCCCATCACCGCCTTCCCATCTGGGTTCGTGACACGGGTTTTCCGCTACACGGGAATGATTTGCGAATGCTGTGTGAGCTCGACAATGTTACTTTTTTCATCGGCTAGGTTGTCGTCTCGATCACCTCTTGTGCCATTGGACTCATCGACTGTAAAATAGGACTGTGTAACTGGCCGCCTAGCACATTCAGAATACATGCAATGGCTGCAACTGCAAGTTTGGTAACAACATTTATCATTGCACTTTGGGATTGATTAGGAACGTGTGTGTGTAGGTATAGTCTATGTCTTACAAATGTCTGTTTTCCGTACACACAGCTGATTGTGGACATGATAAAATATAATAATATTGAATAGTTCTCAATTAATAATCAGAGAATGTAGTGTGTGTGTGTACCAAGAATTTCACAATCAAAAGTTTAATATTTATACATGTTATCACCGGTATGCAGTAATAATCGAGGTTCATTATGAATTAATGTCCGATTGTTTTTTTCTACAATCTGTTTTCTTATTGTCCATGAATATAATGTATTGTAAACACAGAACTATTTGTTTTTTTTCTTTCCTTTGACTGTCCAGTTATGTTAAAATATTTATTTTTTTTTAAATAAAGACAATGCGAATAGTACTACTCTATGGTTAACATTGTCTGTTGTTGACTTTTACCAAGTGCTTAACTCAATTTTATTTTGAAATTATGACCTTAATCATAGTGTATTATGTATAATATACTGACAATATTTTTCTTATGGTATTCGATTTAGATTATAAAAAAATTATATTGTTCCAATATTATCAAATGCTTGGTATTATTAATAATTCTTCTGCAAATCGTATGCTCAGCTTTCATTTTCATCTTTTTCAATACTATATACCTAATATTATTTTGTTATTTTAATGGTATTATATCATTTTTTTTATTTTTAATTTATGAATTATTAAACTAATTTATATAATTTTATTTCAATATATTTAACTTTTATTCTGATTATCAACATGAAAATTTGATTATGATTTGACTTAGCTGATTATTAATTAGTTAATAATAAAAGTATTGATTATAGATTGATATAAGGTACCCATATTATTTGTTAATTCTTTTTTTTCCTAGAATAAATAACCGAGTACTGAGATATTTCAATATAATTTTAATGTATTTAATTTATTAGCATACAAATAAATAAATAAAATTATTATATTACTAATAATACTACTAATAGTACTCTTTTATTACTTATATTTTTTTTATATGTTCTGTTTTTTTTTTTTTTTTGGCTTTGTATTATGAACTTTATATACATTTTTATGAATTTGAAGTAAACAAAAGACAGTCCTGCATCTTAATCACATTTATTTTACCCATGAGTACTTTATAATATATTCACAGAATAAATTTATTTTATTATGTGGTATATAATTAAATATAATTAAATAAACATTTAGTTTTTATTAATATAATTTTTAACATTTTCTAGATGGAGTTATCTGATTCATCAGGTAGCTCATCAACTGTAATTCAGTCGATGTGCCATGTACGAGCTTCTGAATTATATCCTAAACGAGACTTAGAAACCGATGAAGGACCTCCAACCCTAGAACCACCAACAGTGCCTTTTGTTCCCTTAGCTGGTGAATCCGTTGAATACTTAGGTCGAGGTTCGAATAATACTGTATTAGCACTGTCCAATTATCGTTTTTACCTAAAAGTATCAGATGGTGGTTCAAAACGTAGAAGAGGCTATCAAGATAGCAACATACCACTTGGCCTAATTGAAATGGTCGAAATAAAAGATCTATTTTATTTGATAATTAGTTGCAAAGATGCACGTACATGCAGGTTAGTATTAAGTAAATTTTTAAAAAAATGTGTATCTAAAAATATAATATGTGGAAGATGAATAATGATATATGAAATATTAACTATTATACAAAGCCTTATGCTATTATTAATTAATATCTAGATCTAATCAATACTAAATATTTTTTGGTTTTGCTTAAAAGTTAAAAAATTTAAAAATCATAGGAATAAGTTTATTTTTAAAATTACAAATAATATTTATGCCTATAAAAAAATAAGTAAATCTGTGTTTTAATAATTAAAAATAATAGTGAGGTGGTTCAAAAATAATAATATTATGTAAATTTAACATGTTTTAATTAGAGTTCATTTTATTGTTGTTAATTATAACCTTGAATTATATTTTCATTACATTGCATTGATATTAAACACTTCTAAGGGTTTTTTTATATAAGCTTATCTCTTTAATTAAAAATAATCTAATAAGTATATTGTATCCAAAATCATTTTTAAATTTATAAATTATAAATAGAATTGTTAAAAAAAATACTCATAGTAATAATCCTTTATTTTACAAAATCTAAAATACTCAACATTTCCATTTATTGATTGTTAATAAATATTTATAAGAATTTATTTATTTTTTCTATTAAGGAATCATTTTATAATATCTGTATTGAATTTTTTACTATATTAAATTGTATCATTGTGTGCTTTATTATAGGTGTACTTTTACTACAAATGATTTATGTTTGGAGTGGTACAAACGTTTAACCCGAGCAATAATACCACCTAAAAATGTTCAAGATGTTTTTGCGTTTGCTTTTCATGCTTGGGCTATTGAAGATCAATGCAATGAAGACATTTCATTAAACTTAGGACACGATGGTGATGATGACTATTTTATGAAAGAGGTTAAAATAAATAATTTTTAAATAATGCATTGAATGTTTTTCACAATATAATATTAAAACTGTTTTACAGATTGAAAGACTTAATATAAGTGTGTTAAGTGATAACTCTAAATGGCGTATCTCAAAAGTAAATTGGGACTACAAATTATGTGCCACTTATCCAAATCGATTATTGGTTCCTTCCAGTATTACTGATCAAACATTGGAAACTGCAGCCAAATTTCGTAGTTCAAAACGAGTTCCTGTCATTGTTTGGAGGTAAAATCATTGATTTTAACTGTTATTAAAATTATATTTAATTATTGTGTTTTGCATTTAATTAATATATTTAGACACAAGGGTAATGGAGCTATTTTAGCAAGATGTTCTCAACCTGAAGTAGGTTGGCTTGGATGGCGATCCCAAGAGGATGAAGACTTATTAAAAGCAATTGCTGAATCATGCCAAAATAAATCTAAAAAATCTAAAGTAAATACAAAAATATTGTTAAATAATTATCTATACATTATTTGTAATTTTTGTTCGCAATTTGATAGAAATTAGTTGTTATTGATGCTCGATCATATCCATCAGCTGTAGCCAATCGTGCTCGTGGTGGAGGATGTGAATGTCCTGAATATTATCCTGGATGTGAAATTCGATTTATGAACTTGGCAAATATTCATGCAGTACGGAAGAGTTTTCACTTGCTTCGTCAATTATGTGCTTCCCCTCCAGATCTCCCCAAGTATGTACTGTTCAAATATAATCAAAACTTTCTTATTTATAATAATATATTATGTTGTATCATTAATTATTATTTAATGGATGTTTTATATAGCTGGTATAGTTTATTGGAAAACACACGATGGTTACATAATATAAGTGGTCTTCTTCATGCTGCAAACACCGTTGCAGCAACTATTGAACTTGAAATACAACCAGTTCTTGTTCATTGTTCAGATGGTTGGGATCGTACTCCTCAAATAGTTTCTTTAGCTGAACTTATGTTGGACCCATATTATCGGACGATTGATGGCTTTCGAGTCTTGTGCCAAAGAGAATGGTTAGATTTCGGGCATAAATTTAATGATCGTGGTCAAGGTGATGATCCAAATGAACGTTGTCCAGTATTCATTCAATGGTTGGACTGCGTGCATAATGTGATGGCACAGTACCCATGTGCTTTTGAATTTTCCAAATCTTATTTAGTAAAATTGGCACAACACACATATGCAAATCTTTTTGGTACATTTTTGTGTAATAGCGGTGCTGAAAGAAAACGCACAGGAATTGGCACTGCTACATTTTCTGTATGGAAATATTTGGCTGCATCAGTTGAATGTAAAAATCATTTATACTCGTCTCAACAGGACAATGTAATTTATTTAAAAAAATTTTCATTAAGGTAATGTTTGTAATTAATTTAACATTTAATTTCAGATATTATGGGTTAGTTGTAATGTAAGGGATATGAATCTTTGGAGAGATTTATATGTTGGACCATTTACCGAAGGACCTCAGTTAACAAAATCTCCTGAATTATGTAACTCTACGTAAGTATACAGTGAAAACTGTCTTATAGCATTAAACCACCCAAAAATTTTGCTTCAAGCTGTTTTTAAAGCAAAAGCTTTATCAAATAAAATGGAAAAATTCTGGATTATCAATCTATATAAATTTTTCATATTACAAAATTAGTGTATAAAATTTATAATTTATATTTCTAAGTTAGAGGCTAATCAAAAACTTAATTTAATACTTTATATAACTTATTTTAACTTATATTTTTTTTTTTTTTTATTATAGACTATAAATATAAATTTATTAAAAGTTTATACAAATTACATAATTATGTATGAAGGTTGGAAATTAAATTTGAACATTTAGCTTTTCCAAAAATCATGGAGTTTCTTGTTTCGTCACTTGCTGCTATTTCTTGTTGTTGTTTGATTGAAAAAACCATTCAAAGAAAATTATCATCTTATGGTCAATAGTAAACTGATGTAGATTTTTTATCTCAATGCTGATGTTTCACAGCTGTACGGGATAAGTTCATTACTGATTCGATAACAAAAAATACAAATTACCTTACTGATATATGTAGTACAGTTTTATCTCAATTATTGTTTTATGATGTACCTACATACTGATATCAACATAACATGATTTGTGTAATTTTTCTAGTAAAAGTTTTACTTACATAAGGGGACCTTTAAAATCAATCAGTTTCTGTATTAAGAAGGTTCTATAAAATTAAAGAAACATGCTAGGACCATAGACAAATTCTGAATTGTTTAGTTTTCCTTTTATTCATGGTTCAAATTACACAGTTTCATTATATTTTCATTAAAATACTGATCAAAACCAAAATGATATATATTAAGAAATACTACATACAACTAAAAAGGTTGATAATTTTAACCATACCTACTATAACAAAAAATATCCAACTGAAATATTAAACGAAACATAACCCAAAATATTAATATATGTGTAAATTTTAATTTTAGATTGGTAATGGAAGGGGTAATTGATCCTATGGTTAGCAATGGTCAACCAATTGTCTTTAATAATGAAAGTCCTTGCATGGAATTCTCAAAAACTGAAGATGTAATATCATTAGATGACAGAGATGATAAATCTTCAGATACAAATTCTAGCTCAAGCATTATTGCTGAAGAAAATGGAATAGGTAAACTTAGAATTATTAGAATATTTTTTTTACTATGGAGGAATATATTGTTTTTCATAAACATAAAGCTAGGAAATTAATATTTTTTATCAGTTTTTATTTTGTTGAACCATATTTTTAATAATTATTTATAGTTATCCATTTTTAGTAATAACAGACATTGTTGTTTAGTTATTGCTGGACTTTTAGATACTTTATTTTGTATCTGAGTATCTAATGATACTACTATATTTTATATTTAAAATTTTCCTTAAATAATATTTATTGTTTTTGATTTAGAACGGCATTTAAATTCAACTAATAATGTCTTAAATACTGTTGATGGGCTGCTACCACTAGTAGACGATATGCAAAATAGACTTCAACAGTTAAATTTAGAATATAAGGTAAAATACATTGGTTTTCAATGACTTAGATTAACAATTTTGTCATTATTACAATTGTCGGTTTTAGGCTAGAGAAGCAGCGCTTCAAAATGAATTGCATGTCACCCGGCTAGTATTGTTGCGCCAAGCTAGTCATCGTTGTAACGGTGTTGAAGCAACTGCTACGCTTGACATGAATGGTCTATCACTGGCAGACAAAATCGATGATGATGTGCGTAATTCATTTAAAATTTAAAAGTATTAGCAACCTTGATTTGGGTGATCTGATACTTTTATCTAGTAATGTATTAGAATGAGGGTGGAGTAATTTTTTGAAGGTGTCCGTGTGTAGCAGCACAGGAGGCGAGACGACATTGTCGTGGGAACCTGTAGAGCCATTCGACGCTCAACCAACCCTGTGGGTGCCGGACCACGCGGTTACCCAGTGTATGTCGTGCGACAACAAATTCTGGCTGGGAAGACGGAAGCATCACTGTAGGTGAGTTATTAAAAGCTACACATTTTTTTTAATATTATATTAATTAAACATAAAATTAAAAATTTTCTCATTCATCGAGTCAATACTTGTATATTTATAAATATATTTTTCTTTTATAGGAGTTGTGGCAAAATATTCTGCGCAGATTGTTCACGAAATCTGGTTCCATTGCCAGCTGAACAGCTATATGAACCTGTGAGAGTGTGTGAACCATGTTTTGCACTCGGTACTTCGAGGACCACAAACACTTCAACTACCACTACATGTAAACAAGCTTTTGCCGATGATCAAAAAAATGTCAACATCACTTTACAGCCGGCACCATCGAATTAATTTATAACTAGGTGAAAGTGTAAACTTGTTAAATCAATATTAAATATGAATTATATAACTGTTAAGAATTTTCTTGTAAATTGTGATGTTTAAGAACCAAAAAAAAAAATTATTTAACTATTTAGTTTAATTAATTTTTTTTTTTTACTATTTATTGTTTGAAAACCAAATTGAGACACAGACATTTTTATCTGTATACGAATGAATTATAATGGTGTAGGTTTTAATAGTTAATAGTAGTTATTAATTGTAATGATGGTTACCCCACGAGATGGACTATGTTTTATGCACTTACAAATACTATTTATTAATTTTTATCTGTTATGTTTTAATCTTTTTTTTTTCTTCATCTAAGTAATAACAATGAAGTTAAATGATTTATTATGTTTATCTTTTGTTACAAAGAAGTATTTATATATAACCCACTACATATCCAATACTGATTTAATTTCTGTTAATAGCAATTGAATTGTTGGATTTCATATTGTACTTTTTACATAACGTGTAATTTGTATAGAAGTTATCTAATCAAATAAAAAATAAATATTATAAATAGTTTGTTTAATATGTAATATGCATGTATAGTATGTATTGGGGGATTTACATATCCAGATTTTTGCTGTTTAATGTCTCGTTTATATATTCACATAAATTTAATTAAGTTTATGCAGTAAAGTTAAGTTAATTGAGTATTCAGTCAATAATATCACTGCAAGTATAAAATAAACTTAACAATTTAATAGTAAATTACAAAAACTGTTGAAGTCATGATAAGTTAACTGTAATTTATAAAAACATAATATTTATAGTTACATTTTAATTACAATAAAACAAAATAATTAATTTTACTAGAAATTAAAAACTTATAGATACTTGGCAAATCTGGATCAAGAATTTGATTCAAATCTAGATTTGAATATCAGGATATTTGGATTTTATGCAAATCCCTAATAGTATGTACCTAAATATATATTTATTAATACAGTGGCTAATATACATGTATCAAGGAAAGTTGTTTTTCTATTGGACACTGAGAGAACAATAGATATATACACACATATATATAAAATGTAGGTATATTATGTATGTAATTACAACATTTTTCTTCTGCCATTAATGGCTTTTTTTTTTTTATTATTTCTAGTAATACAAATACTTATCGAACTTACATTTCATATACAACTTCTAACATCACAGACAAATGGTACAAGAGAAAATATTTCTTCGTACTTTATATACACGTTTTCTAAAGATATAATAATGAATTTTTGTACACAAAGGTTCAAAATCTTAAAGAAATTATAATATAAAATATGTATGCGTTTCATGTTCATAAGAATAAAATTTAAATTTATCAAAAAATAATAGTTAATTTTAGTTTAAACATGCAAAAAGAAAAGAAGTTTCTGAATTGCTCGGAGGAGAATATAATTTAAAGACATCAGTCACAAAAACATTTAGATGAAAGTAAACTGAAAACCTCATATTAAAACAATAAAAAGAGAAAAGAAAGAAAATAATGAGACCTAGTAAGGGGGGGAGGGTTATATAAATATTTATAAGGAATAACAATTTAATTTTTTTTTTAGACTTTCGATTTAAACACTTTACGTAAATTGCCACTTATTTGAATTGATTAAGAACGACCACCAACTTGGAACTTTTCAATATCTTCGACACTGAGCATATTCACATTTTGTGACATGACTGGCATGTTTGGCAAACGGCCAGCACGGGCTTGTGCTAAGAGTTCTGGAGAAAACCAACGAGCAAGTTGGTTGCTCACTGGAGACTGTACACGGTTCATGCGACTTTTATCCCCAGATCCGTAGTTCATACCTTTATAAATGAACAGAATAATATTTAATAAAAATCTGTAGATAAAAGTTGAAGAAAATTAAGTAAGACAACAAATATGAAAAAAATAAATAATAGTGAAAACATTAGTTAACCCTAATACTTGGAGGAAACATAAATTTATAATTTAGTTTTAGTTTTTTTCATTAAAACATAAACCTATCATAATAAATTTAGTCCAATTTATAACAAACAAAACAAAAAAAAAAATGGTATAGTTTTTTGGAGAAAAATTGGTCAGTATCTATTATCTTAAATGATAACTGAAAAAACTCACCACGCCCATTTAAATTATTAGGCGGTTGTTGATGTTGTTGAGTTCCGTGATACCTGGGATAGTTACCACTTAATATTTGTTGGATAGTTGTGTTAACAGGTCGTTGTTGTTGCTGCTGCTGCTGTTGTTGTTGCATAAACTGTTGTTGTTGGATTTGTTGTTGTAAAGTATTTATTTGATGCTGAAGAGCATGCTGGTTAGCTAAATATTTAATAAAAAATTATATTGCAGGTAAAATTTAAATTAAAAATAAATAAAATAATAGAATATTTTATTTTACCAGATCTTTCGTCAGGTATGTGGTGTTTATCTAGTAAAGGTTCAGAGGTTGAAGTCATTTTACGTAATACTGATGTAGGAGTAAGGCCAATTCGTGGTTGAGACTGGGATTGAGATGAGCCTAAGTCTATCGGACCTTCTCCCCCATACGCGTTATGAATCTAGAAAAAAAAAAATATATAAACAAAAATGTTTACATTTTTTTTTTTTACTCCACACGTACATTATCCATTCTTTTATGGGTTTGATCAAGCAACTGTCTTTTAAGAATTTGACTTTGATATAATGCTGCTTGTTGTTGGTAAACCAAATCCTGTTGATTGACCATTCTTTGAGTATCTAAAACAATAAGTAAAAATATGAACTCAGTTTTATAATTATATCTTAAGTTATAGGTACATACTATTTGAATGTTGAAACACTTTCATAAGACAAATAAGAGTTTCACGATAACGAGACTGATTTGGACTAGTTTTTTTCCATTGTTCAACCAAATGATGTAGCATTACTTCACCACGTTTTATTCCTAATTAGGAATTATAATATTATAGCCATTATGTTAGATTTCATATTAAACAAATTTATACATACCCATAAGCATTTCTTGAGCTTCACGGCTTTGTAAAATATCTTTAGTTGGTGTATAGAAATTTACCATATTTTGTAATTCCACAGGAAGTTTATACATCTGTTGTTTAGACTGTTGTTGAGCAGCCATAGCTTTTGCAACCATATTTTCATGTTGTTTTTGAATCTAAATTAATATTAATAATGTTATACTAAAAATAATAATCATTGTTAAAATTAAAAATGTTTTCAACAATAAATTAGTAAAGATCTTTCACATAATTTCAGAATATCCCTAGGTTTATTTATAATAATTTATTAAGAAATTATATATACTAATTAACTATAATAATTATGTTTTAAAAATAAAACACAAACAAACAACATTTAAATTTATTTTACTTTTCAGTATTTTATTAAAAATATTTTCAAAATCAATTGTAACTTTAACAAAAATTAGAAAACTGAAAAATCAAATCAAATTTTACATGTAGTGGTAGCTTATAAACAACATCTAACCAATTTCCAAATATATAAATTTATAAAAATAATTTAATATAACACTGATACAATTTATATGTCCAGTAATTTTTTTTATAAACATTAATAAAATTATTAACCTGTTGTGCTTCCATCAGTTTCATAACAAGATCATTAGGAACCTGCATGTTGGATTGTTGACTACGATAATTATTGTTTGAAGGACCATATGGACCTATAAAAATAGGTTATATGTCAACATTTATAATTCTTCTAGATTTAATCAAATATTTGAGAAATCACAAATAAAATCTTTAAAGTGAAAAATTACACACCGACAGTATTCTGTCCTTGGTTCATCATATAATTTTGAGGACCTTGCGCATTATTCAGCATCTGCAATCAATTTTACTTAATTATTTACCACCTAACATGAACATCAACGCATACATTAACAATCATCAATTTTTAATTTAACTGTATACTAAAATATATATTAATAATTGTTTAAAACTAAAGGATCCAAAAATATCTATGAAAGTCAGAATATTCCAATGGAGGGGCAATATTTTTAAAAAGGAATTAACCCCTTTAAAGATATATTAAACAATCAATATAAATTACCTGCAAAATAGAATAATTTGTTTGAGAGTTGTTTGTTAGATGTCCATCATTGCTTGAATTTTCATGCTCATTTAGAGGTATCTAAATATTATAGAATTCAACATTAAGTTCAAACTCATACAAAAATTAGCGTAGGATTATTTAAATTTATATATAAAATATGTGCTTAATTTAAATTAATTACTTTCATGTTTTGCAGTTTCTTGAGTTTCATTTCTTCGTGGAATTGAACATTGTTAACATTGTTGGGTGGTGGTAAAAACCCATTTTGTTGTGAACTAGACATACGCAACCTAGATTCAATTTCTTCAAGGCTTTGAACTTTACCATTAACTTCTAATAAAAGATAAATCAAATAAAAACCAAATATCTTAATAATTAACTTATTAAATAAAATTACCTAAATCACGTATGGCAGCTTTAGGATCAGACAACTGAGGTGCACTAGCTTTAATCACATCCATTATAGCAGGAGGAAGTTTATTATTCTCACTTGATGTGATAGAGTCATACGCATTTGTTATATTTTTTAATTCATTTTGACTGTTATTTTTAACCATTCCCATTAGCATTGATGTTAACTGCCTAGGGTCTTCTTCATTTTCTGTTGTTCCTTCTATAAGTAAACATAATACAAAACTATAAAATTATATAAATAGTTAACAATTATTATATCATACTGTTAGTTCCTGAGTTTAACATTTCAGTTGAAGCAGACGAAGCACGACTGCTTTCATGTGTAGTAAACCATTGACGGAATCGTGAACCAGCTGCATTCCCATCAGTTTCTCCTTCAATATGCATTATATCATTTAAGTAATCTGGTTTTAAGAAATCATCAATATTAAAATCGTTGAAAACATTGTCGTTTGTTTTATGTTCAGCGTCATAAGCTTGAATAAATTCATTTCCAGTAATTGATTCAGCATCTTTTTTAGTTTGATCTTCCGACTCATTCTGTAATGAAAAGTAATTAATACGCATATGCATATTGATAGTTAAAAAACAAAATTACTTTAGGTTTGTCAGCAGTTGATTTTTTCTTTTTATCTTCTTCCTTTTCTTTTTTAGTTTTCTTTGTCTTAATATCACTTGTACCCTTAGCAGTAGATGCCGATTCTGTAGATGTTGAATCAATTGAATTTTTTTTGGTACGGGCAGCTAAATATTTATTATGTAAATTAATTTAAATATTTAACATAAATTATATAACTTTAAAGGATTTAACTTACCTGGTTTAGTTTTCTTCTTCTTTGCTTTATCGGTAGGTGGATCTTCAAAACCTCTCAACTCAATAGTATCATGTTGTGATGTAGGGCCATCTTTTAAACAAAAAAATAAGTATTAATAATAACATAACTAAATATATATTAATTGAAAATGTATTTTAATATCAAAATGCATACACTCAAAGTAAATATTTTTAAATAATTATAAAGTGTAAAAAAATACCAGTCATCCATTCTGGTTCCTCTTGTGTTCGATAAGATTCATTTCGACGTCTATCATAATTACTAGAGCCTTTAAATCGATCATAATTTCTGTAGCGATCCGTTTCTACTCTGTCAAACTCAAAATCTTTTCTACGAGATTCTCTAAAAAGAATAGATAAATAATCAAAAAATAAAAATATAAATAATAATATAAATACAAACATTGAGCTATGAGAAGAGGATTCACGAAAGCCCCCTTTACCAAAATTAAAATTATTTCCAATTCCATTTTCTGGCTGACGATAACCAGTGTCCCAAGAATCTCGACTCATCAATCGACCACTGCCAACTCTTCGAGGTTCTCGAATGGGTTCCCTAAATATATATTTTATAATAAAAAATTAAAAAGCAAAAAAAAAAAAAAGAACCTTACCTTTCAACATACGGTTTGACAGAAGTATTCAATGGACTATTTGAACGTTTTGGTCCACTAGCAGCATTCATAGTAACAAAACATCCTGAATTGAAACTACGTCTTTGAGGACTAAGAACTATATCTTGATCTTTTTTCAAACGATCTTTTGCGTCTTGAGGTTTTTTTTATATGTTTTAACATATGAATATAAATAAATGCATGAAATATTTATACATTAAGATAAAAAACTTATATATATCAACCAATATATCAAATATAATCAAAAACCAACACAATTTACAATATCAAATATGTTAAATATAAAATTGAATCATAAAAATTCTAAAATAAAATAAATGTTAGTTTAAAATACTATTACTTATGTATTTTAATATTTATTTGTAATAAAAACTACGTAACTTAACTATTTTAGCGTGAGAGAGGGAATATATCTCACTTTTTCTTCTTATAAATAATTATATAAAATAATGGTAAAGGGTAAAGGGAAATAATTGCTTAAAATATTATTCATTAATTTGCACACAACTTTTTTTTTTATTAATTATAAAACTAACCTCAATTTTGGCATCACCATTTTCAGTTGGTTGGTTTTGCCAAGGTGGTAAATCAAATGCTACAGTTTTTGTATTAGTAGCTGGTTTACTATTAGCTACAGGTCTACTTCCCCTGTAAACAAATAATTGTTAAAATGTTTATCCAATATATTTTTAATATTATAAATTAGTATAAATTTCATACTTTAAAGAATTCATCTAATAAATGAATTACTAAAAACTTACTTTCTTGTTTTACAAGCAAGTTCTAAATCCAAATCAGGGAAGTTATCTAAAAATTTTGGGCGCACTTTGGAACTGCTTAAGTTTTGTAATTCCAACAATGCATCTTTGGTATATCTTTGTGTAGGCTGTTTGAATCTCACTACTTTAACTTTTTCTTCACTAGAAGTGCCATTTTCCATTTCATTAATGGTTACACCTAAAAATTATAATTTATATTTTACTCATTTGATTATTAGAATAAATACTAGTAATGAAATAATAATAATAGTTATTAATGATTGAAAATCATACTAAATTGTATTCTACATTTACTTAATACACACCTAAAATATTTTTAAGGCCATTAGTAAATACACCAGTATTATTTAAAGGTTGCTCTGGAATATTTTCTTTAAAATAAGGCATGGTTTTTAAAACTTTTTTTAACATAGGACCTTGAATACCAGAGTGTCGTTTACGACTATTATTTAATTTACTATCCATGATATTAATTAATTTATTTTAGTTATTTAAAACACCATAATCATAAATTAAAATTACATTAAGAAATTCATAAAAATATTGTAACAAAATAAAACATTGAATAACATCCAAGATCCAAATGCTAACTGAATTATTTTCTCTAATAAAAATTATTTGGAAATTTCGAACATTATTTTCTAATAATAAACAATTAGAGGATTATTCCCACAATCTATAAGCAATATATGATAATATTATCTTAATATCATTTGAACTCTATAAAATGACTATCAAGCCCGTCAACTGTAATATATTAAACAAATTTTAATTGAAAACTTGAATATTCCTAAAAGATTTGTATTGATTATTTCAGGTATAACATACTATCAATGGACTTGTTACCTAACAAATCACAATACAATTAAGGTACAATGTGGATACCTTTACTTTATTAGCCTTTTTCCCAATACTACATACATACAATGCATTACATCAGTCTTCATGTTGAAAAAAATCTTATGCCTTACTTAAATTATTTAAATTGTCTGTTCCTAAATCATGCAATTGCAATATCTACTTATAGAGAATAATAATAAAGCTATTGCAAAATATATAAGGTATATAGTATGTATATCTATATTATAGTATTTACAGTATGTAATTATGTAGATAAGTAGGAATACTTTTACAATTAAATCAAAAGTAAGATAATGATTTCTTTTAAGGACATTTATTTTTAAAATATTTTAATTTTAAAAAATAGTTACTAATTATGGCATATAAATAAGGATTATATAGAACAGATTTGAATAAATAAAAATATAAAATCCAATGCAGACAAATTTTTAGTACGATATATAATTTACAATATGTTTCTTAAAGCATCTAAATTTCTAATATTAGATTAACTTATAATTAGAATAAATTAAATATAATATAATATATATATATATATATATATATATATATATACATATAATGATGTAGATTAAATAATTATGTTAAAACTATGATAAGTATATTCAATCAGTAATATTTTTACTAAATGTTTCAATTGAATTGGTATAAGACTGAAAGTTAAATCTTATAGACATAGGTAACTAAGTAGATAGATGAATTTGAAATAATATAATTAGTTAATTATGAACAACTAATATATCTAGGTATTCAAATAAGAATAAATAACAAATATTTGTTCCAAAAATGTTAGTAACCAATTAAAATATGCCTTTATTATTGTTCAAATTATAAAAATGTATTGTTTATAAGAAAATAAAGGACACCTAAATAGAATTACATACTAAACTAATCTAATATTAAACAAAATGATAATCTGAGATATATAATATTAATACAGTACATTCAGTGTTCAACAAATCAATACAATTTTTTTATTATCATTAATCCTACAGTTACATTTATAGAAAAAAAAATAAAGATGAAAACTAATTAAATGCATTCAATATTTTAAAATTTCCAAAAAAAATATTAATAGGTAGGTACTTTACCTATTTAAAAAATGCAATTTTGATAACAAAATTAATACAATGATAAGAATTCATATTTAACAACAAATTCACAAATATACAAAGGGTGGACATTTTATTACCAGTATTTTTAGCAAATTCAACTAATAACTAAATTTGCACAGATTTAAAAATACATCTATATTAACATTAAAGAAAAAAATACCTACCTATGAATTAAATCTATATAAATAAACAACCAAAATAATAATACATTTTATAGTTTCTTGTATCAATACTAAATTACTAATACCTACCTATATATACATTTATATTTTTTTGAAAAAATCTGTACTTTTAATTTATTGTTTATCTAAGTAATCGCTTTCTTGTTCCATAATTGTATAGCAAAAATAATTATGTAGTGTATACAAAATATTGAATTCTATACAAAAAACAGTAATTTAATAATTTAATATGTTAATATATTGATCCTCAAGTTAAACAGATATATATTATTTGAGTATGCCTAAACAATTTACTAAGTATATTTAACTGAGATTTAAGTTAGTTACAAAGTCGATATTTTTAATATTTTCAATTTCCTATTTATAGAACACACAACTAGCATATCTTATAATCAAAATGATAATATACAACACTTATTTTGGTGGTAAAAATACGAATGTGTCTATTAACACTTACTTCTTTCTTGGGAGTCGACTAGATTTGATACAGACGTGTCGGGCTGACCGCTGTTGTTGTTCACCAGTTCGGACATGGTGACAGAGATTTGGGAATGGATAAAACAGAACGTCCGATCGTGGTTTTTACGCGAGCACGGACATGAAAAGAAGAAAACAAATGACGCGCCTGGCAGGGCGAAATATGATTAATAAGAGGGGAAGAAACTCGAGATGGCAATGGGATCCCAATTGTTGGGAAGTCCGCACAATGAACCGCCAAAGTAAATTCGTCGGACGGTTATAAATATTATTGAATAGTGATAACCGACGCAAATATGCTGCTCTGGTGCGGACGAGAACTTTTAGCGCGTATGTCAACGATAATGAATTAACAATACAACAATTCCATTTAGCACCGAACAAATGGTAAAAAACGCGCTATAAGTACTATTGTAACGAAATATCAAATAATCCTTTGATTAACGACGAAAACTGTTTAGTTACACAATACAAAAAAAAAAAATATATATAATAATAATAATAAAAATAACAGTACACAAGGGACGAACGCTATCGCAGAACGACAGAAACGAGAACGAACGAATGGGGAAATGAAAGTATCAGAGCATTGAAAATGGAATTTTTCTTCTTTTAGGATACAGGATGCCCATTAATGGGGATATATAGTTGAGTTGGCAGGTGGGTACTTGACTCATGGAAGAATTGCATATTTCATCGGGTACATTATCAAACGATTGTTTTGATAATAACCTGATCTGTGATAATGCAACCGAGAGTATTTAGTACTTACTATAGAGTGACTACTTAGTGCTTATTAATTCGATAATGCTTATTTAGTATTCTTGCCTCTGGTGCTTTTGGATATTTCGATTCGTCGACTGCTTATTGTTTACGGTTTTGAATGTTTACATTTCCTCGAACGGAACCACAACTTTCCAATTCTAAATGAAAAAAGTTCAAAAATTACATCCATTCATAGAAGAAATTCTATAATAACACATTCAATGTAAACCAACAACTACAAATGTTAGGACATTGAAATATTTATTATTGACAGCTCGGTAAATAATTTTTTCGTAAGATTTAATGTATCTATCTTTTTCTTTGATTTTGGTAAAAACATTAACATAGACTGTTTTTCAGTTAGTACACACAATGGAAGAAAACATCAACTTGTCCAGTGTTTCCGAATCAAAAGAATTGGAAGCAACTGAATTTTATTTTGAAACAGATTTTTATTTATTAAAAAATAATATGGACTATAAAAACCTATTAAAATCATTAGCTATTCTTGAAATGCAAAGGTGTACAACAATTCAGAACATTGAAAAACTTGCAGTATTAAAAGATTATTTTTCCAAAAATCCATCCTTAGCATTAAAAAAAATTTTAAAACATGATGACATTGGTACATTGAAAACAGTTAACGTTCAAAAGATACCAGATATTGACTGGTCAATTTATAAAACCAACAATGAAACAGAAACTGAGCAATCAAAACAGGTATGCGATATTAATTTAAGACATAAAAATGTTTCTGAAAAACAAGAAGTACAAACAGTTAATTCAAATGAAGTAGAAAAACCAGAAACATTTAAAAAACCTTGGAGTGTTGAAGAACAACTGCGTCTTGAAGAATTATTAGTAGAATATCCACCAGAAAGAAATGAAAGCAATAGATACAGAAAAATAGCTGAAGCCTTGGGCACAAGAAATTTGCGACAAGTTTGTAGTAGGGTTCAGAAGTATAATATGAAAATGAAAAAAGTAGGCTCAATAAAATCAATTAATGCTAGTTCAAAAAATTTGAATAAAAAAACTGTATTTCTAAGTCATAAGAATACTGGTGCATTATTGAAGCCAACTACATTTATACCATCTACTACATTAATAAAAGATGTGGATGTTTATAATGCTAATCGAAACAATTTCAACTGTCACAAAAATATTGAAATGAGTACTAAGAGCAAATTATTTATTTTAGAGGAAGTTTTAAAAGACAAACTCTCTGAAAAAAATCATAATATTGTTCATCAAAATTTTAAATGTTGTGTATGTCGGTCATCTCCTATTATTGGAACTAGATGGAATTGTAATGACTGCCCAGCTATCGGTAAAAGTTCTGATTTTTGTTGTGATTGTATTGTCGACATGGTGAAAAATGTTCTTGTAGAAGCTCCTCATCCATTAGATCACTTGGTTACTCCTATTCGAAGTGTTCAAGTAAATGATGACATTAAGAGTCTTGTTGATCCTAACTATGTACCATTAGTATTTAAAACTCAAAATTATTTAGACCCCAATTTTATGGTTTAAAATGTATATGAATTATATAAATTTTTTTTTTATTTTGTTAATTACCAGTAATACTAAATAATACCATGTCATCATTATTTTTATGCAAATAAATTGTGTCATTAACTTTTGTCATATTACATAAATAATATTTTAAATTTTATTTGTATTTTTATGATTATGAATAAAAATTTTAATATATGGTTTATAATATATGTTAAGGTGTACAACCTCTTAACGGTGAGTGTTGACAACCACCGTTGATTGTCAAACTTTACCAAATACTTTCGTGAATGGTGTCTATTTTTACAAACAGATCCGTGGAAAGAAATCAAGGGCCCCAGAAATAAATTAATTCAGGCTCTTCTCACACAAGGTATTAAACTTGCTACTGACATCCAATGTCTTTTAAAATGTGTATACCAAAGAGATAATGTAATCGCAGTCATGGTTATTCTCAAACTAATTGAAAATAATTATTTAAATCCTATGGGTCTTACTTGAAAATGTTATTTGTCTACGTTTTAGATCCATGTTGTAGTGTTTGCTTTATTGTATACTTGTTTTAACAAAACAGCATACATTATAATTATTTGGGTAGGTTATTAGCACGATTCATGTTGGTGATCCATAAATAGCTCAACACCATGACCGAGACGTGAACTTGGTCAGGTCCTAGACCTTTTTTAAAGCCCGGGTCTCTGGGCTACAGCCTCTGATGCCCTTCCTCTCTTCGAACCTGTTTACAAATACTTAACATTGTGAACAGTGGCATACGCAGAATTTTACAATGGGGGAAAGCTTGAAAATAAATAATTACTCAGTTGTAACAGGCACATTTGGTTAAAAAATAAAATAGTAGCTTTTTTATCTCTTATTTAAATTAAGCTTTAAATGTACGAAAAATAAAAATAATGAGCAATAAAATACATTTTTATTTAATCCAGTCTGATAATTGTAGTCGCTTAGTTGATGTTTTTGAAAATTGTTGTATTTGAAGGGGAAGCGATAGGAGAATTCGCCCCCCCCCCATGGCTCGTATTTTTTTTGAATATAATACATTGATTTATTTAAAAAATGTAATATATAAATAATTTAGAATATAAATAATTAGTCTATCATTATAATATGTTATCATTATAACAAGAACATATGGTGTAGGTAATGAACTGTGAATTATTTTTAATTTTGTATTGAAGAAAAATTAGTTTCACCCCCCTCCCCCATGGCCTCAACTCAAATACGCCCTTGGATTTTCTTTTTTATCGATATTTACTAAAGCTAATCTATTAAGACGTTCCTCCGTCATGGTTGATCCTTAGAATATTGGCTAGATTAACAATGTTTGGATTGTTGCTAACAATTGTTCGGTTGTAATCATAGATTATAAATACCCATCTATGAACAGTGGTTTTAATCACAGACTAAGATATATATAACCCTTAGTTCGTGGTTTCATTAAATGAGTAAATACACGCTTTGCAGTGGCGTATACAGAAAATATTTTCGGGAGGAGCTACTATGGGCAGAGTTAAATTACTGCTGCTATCTAAGAATTACTAACAAGACACAGTAGGTACTTTTAGTAGACACAGTATCTACATTTCATTTACAGAATGTCCCAAAACATTTTGACGTTGGACGCAATTCTAAATAAGCATAAAGCACCATTAAAATATAACATACGTTTAAAATAATTTTTAAGTTTTTTAAAACATTTAGGGGGGCTGTAGCCCACTAGGCCCTCCTATATACGCCACTGATTGAGTGACTACATATTCAATAATTCCTGGTTCATTTATGAAATCACATCTAATACGAACCAAGTGTATGTGAATTTATATTTGTTTTCGGCGGCTACCGTAAATGAATTGAATACGTACCGAACCGAATCAAACTGTATAAGTGTGAAACCGGCCTCAATCTTAATATTATCGAAAATATCTTATAATATATATCGTGCTTTAAGTGTGGTTAACATTTACCAAATTCTAGTTGTAAATTTCTACAATCCCGGTGCATGACCACATACAGGCTATTTTGACAACATTCACTACGATTTTTGATGTATTTCAACATACACTGATGACTGTTTATTGTACATATCTGTGACTAAACATTTAAATTTCAACATAATATCCGCCTTTAGTTTTAAATTCAAACATCGTATTTCGGTTTCAAACGACTTTTTTGTTTTTATTAATGGTGTCACTGCCAATACAGAGACGTCATAAGTGTTCAAAATTTACAGCTGGTCGATATTACTTTCTCTATAATCTCAAACAATATTCCTTATCAAATAGTTATTTACTTTTGGTTTCTTGAATCTTGTATACTATCTGTATTGTATGATGTATTAATATAGATTATTCAGTGTTGAAAAAAATTTGTTCAGAATCTAGTTCATATTTTCAATTATTTTGCAATGGCTTCAGAAAAACAACAAACTGTTTTGCCCGAAGAAGAATATTTAGAGGTAATTACAATGAAATACAATTTTCTATGTTTAAGAATTTTCTGTTATACGTTAAAGGTATATAAGTAAAATATCTACTTTTAATTCAATATATTGCTAAAAAATGTATACAGTAAAATGTATATATTTAAAATGTATAGCGTAGAGTATATTAATAGCAATACATTCAGATTATACTGCTGATGTTTATATGTATGAAAGCCTAATATAATATATGTATTTATATATATATATATATATATATATAGACTTTGTTAGAACAACCTAAGAAAATATTAACATTTTATTAAATTTATCTATCAAATAGTTTTCTTAGTAAAATATATTCAATTTAATTGTAATTGTGCTCTTAAGTTTTTTATTTTCATAACCTTGTAGAATATGTATTAATTTATATTTCTTGAAAAAATAATTACTTCTAATTAATATGAATATATTTTTTTTATTTGTTTCTTTCAGAATATAGGTAAAATAATTGAAAGAGATTTTTTTCCCGACCTAGAAAAATGGAAAGCACAAAAAGATTACTTAGATGCAGTTCAGCAAAACGATACAAAAAAATTAAGAGAGATATTTGAAAAGTATAGTTTGAGTAAACGAATGCTTACTGAACGACCTGGTAATTTATGAATTTGATTCTGTTATTTTATACATTTTATTTATTAAGTCAATATAAAAAATAAGGAAGCTTCTAGTTTGACTAAGTTATATGGATGGGTGAATGGTATTGCTGTATTGATTTTTTAAACTTGAAACCAATATATCAGTGCTCTTGAAAATTAATTCTGAGTGAAAAAAAGTTGGGTTGATCATTTTATATTTTTCATCATGGTTGATCTTATAAAATAACTAAATTTCTTAAAAAAGTATATTATATTTGAAAAAAAAAAAGTATCTAAAATTTGGGTTAGCTGAAAATGTCAAGTGCTTTTAACTTTATTAAAATAATTAGAAAAAATATATAATACCTTTAATAGTTATCCGATTTTGCCAGTATTTGATTTTGTTGCTTATAAATAATTTTTTAACTTTACTATTTTGAATTAAATTAACAAAATTATATTATTGACATTTTAATTTCCAAAAGAAAGCTTAAAAAAGAAATTGTAATTTTCTATAAATATCTTAAAAAATCTTTTGAAAATCATACCATATAGTATGAGATATAAGTGTTCAGTAAACATTTTATGTTCTTATGATTATTATTTATTTTTTCTTTTAAAACTTTTTTCCTTGAGTTCTGATGAAAACAAAAATTAGAAGTTTTTGAAAACTAGTATGTCATATTCATTCATTATAGTAATCATCATCAGAAATCATCATGGAAATTGTGTACAGAGATAAAAAAAAAATCATAGTAAAACCAAACTTTCTGAGTTTTATTCAGAATTAAAACATTAAATATTGTTTTTTTTAATTGTTTAGTATACCTTTTATTTATGTCATTTAAATATTTGATGTATATTATTCATCTTATACGGTTACTTGAAAATTCCAAGTTTGATAATATTGGTAACAAATAATATAAAATGAATAATAATTTTTTAATCAAGACATGTTTTATCAACAGATGCTAGCCCAGATACATTTGAAACACCACAACCAATTAAAGGACCATTGAGTAGTAGAACTGTTGATCCATCAGATTTAGAAAGTGGGAAACATGATGATTCTAATTCTAAAAATACTGGTTAGTAGATATAATACAATTATAATAATCAGTAACTTTAAATAATAAGTATATTTAGAATGTGGAAAAATATGTACTGTTAATTTGTCTATAATTATTATTTTTAATGATATTTTAGATAATATTGGGTTAGACACATTTTTAAGCAATACTACAAGTGAAGATAATCATAGTTTTAATGAAATCATTAAAGAAGCAGAAATTCAGTTCCAAAAAAAGGTTGGTTAATAAATGCTTGTAATGAAAACAAATTTAAATATTATATTTAATTTTTTAGAATTCATGGTTATTTGATGGTGAAGTAAAAGCTTTAGAAATGGTTGATAAACTTGAAGTACCTTCAATTGAAAATCAAGCTGCTAATACTGATCGACCATTTCATTTAGATTCATGGACATTTAAAAATAAAAATTATATAATGTATGTTCCTGATGGAGTTAAGTTGACTAACAAAGAACTTATAAATATGGCGTCTAAACGACAAAAAATTGATCACTCTAACACTAGACTTCGATTAAACCCATTTGATGAACAACACAATAAACAACAATTATGTAGTTTAGCACACATGCAAACTAAACAGTTAGATGGCAAAATTGGAGTTGATGGCAAAGAATTAACATCTTCTACTCCTAAAATAAATGGATATGGTTTTGTTAAGACTCCATCCCCTGCACCTGGTGTTAATCAAAGTCCTTTGATGACTTGGGGAGAAATTGAAGGTACACCATTTCGTTTAGATGGTAGTGAAACTCCATTAACTCCTCACAATTCTGGTCCGATTTTCAAAATACCTGAACAGCCCAAACGTGAAAGATTAGCTCATGCACTTGCAGAAAAAGCTAGCGAAGGTCATAGGAACAAAAAAATTAAAGCCTTAGAGACAGCCAGAAAACAACTATCAACGTAAGTGTTTCTTTTTGATTAATTTATGATCCAATATTTAATTGAATTAATTTTTATATTTTAGACCTTCCCCATCTCATTTGATAAATAGTCCATTGGATCGATTAAATTCTATGTCACCAGCTGCTCAAAAATTAGTATGTAATCGTTTGAGTAGTGATAGAAGCAGAGATGCTGCTTTAAGAGCATCCTATAGTCCATCACCCCGTACAACTCCATCTAGATCACCTTCCATTTCAGGATTAAAAGGTGATATTAAAAGATCTACACCAACCCATCAGAAAAAATCGTATGAAGTACCTAAAAATCTTACTGATAACTTGTTAAATATTAATGTTACAAAACGCTCTAGAGCTATAGACTTTTTTTAAATAATTTTAATAAAATATTTATGTATTATTATTGTAAAATAGAATTTTTATTTTGTAAAAAGTTTGATACAGTGGTATTAAATATTGTAACATTTTCTGCATCTTGTTCAACAAATGATATTGATATGCTGAAATAAAATAAATTTGTTTAATATTATTTTTATAATTAACAACTTAACTGTTTTATACTTATTATTTGGTATTTTTAAATTATCACTGATGTGTTTTACAAGTATTTCAGCATGTCCAATGTTTTGTTTGGGACTTATTATTCCAGAACTATCAATTATTTTTAGTGTTCCTAGAATACATGGACTGACTAAACCATACCAATACATATCTTGCTCCATATTCATATGAACAACACAAAACTATGAATAAAAACTATTTTTGGATTAAAATTATATTTTAAATATCTAATATATTTTTTTAATGATATATTTTATTACTCAACTATCACTATTTACTAATGTCAAATATTTATTGACAAAATGTGCCTTGTATAAATTATACAACTACTAAATTTTAATTTTTAATATGTAATTAATTTTTAATATTTGTTAAAGTAACTACAATATAGTTATTATACATAAAATTACATCATAAGTTGAATTTGAATAGCTTACATTAATTGGTGACTTAAATATATCTGCCATAAGTTCACAAGTCTTAACTCTAAAATCTTTTGGAACATTAGATTTTGATAAATTAGAATCGATTTGTAAGATTGGCATTTTGATATCGTATAAATGAAATTTTTATGTGTATAATTTATAAAAATAATTGACAATTTTAGAACTGTTAGTTTAAATAAAATTACAAAGAACTTATTCTGCTTAAAAGCTCTTTTATTGAAAAAAAAAACTGATTCTGCTTGTACAATATTTTAACATAATTATAGTTACACAACAAATGTCAATGCAAAAACTAAAATTAACCTCAGCGACTTAAATAGAGATAAGATAATCATAATTTTTTCATTTATATCTTGCAATTATGGATATTGATTGAAACCATTTATAGTTTTTTATTCAAAAGTATAATTATTGAATACACTATAAGTATATGACATATGTATAAATATTAAATATTGTAGATAATGTACTTAGTTATGAAGAAAACAAAATGCATTTTAGCTCTATAAATTATATTTTTTTTTTTAATATAGCTGTGCCCAAATATTTAATTTTATTAATACCATTTTATTATTACTCATCTATGAACTAAAAAATAAAAATCAAAAATTTCCTTGACATTTCTTCTACACTAATGACACCTGTCTAAAATGACAAAAGACATATTTTAACACATGTCTGTGTTTTGAAAGTTACACTTTTGTTCAGTGCCGAATTAACACATTTGACGCATGGGTCAGATTTTAAAATTCCACCCTTCAACTCCTTCCACAAGCCAAAATATGTATATGTACGTATAGTACATGTATAATATACATTGTATATATACAAAAAGTAACTACATAGTTAAGATTGTTTAATTAATTTATATTTATAAACATATTGTAACACCAGTAGTTTTTAAATTTATAGACCTTAGTAGGTATTAAATATAAACATTTTAATACAAATGTATTCAATATAGGGACGCCCACAGAAATGTAGCTCAGGAGGGGCAAAAAAATTGTAAGTACCTAAATACTTATAGGAAGATTTACTGCTACATATTTCATCTACTCATATTTTGTATTACTATCATTAATAATTTTTTAAAAATCAGAACTCATTTAAGTTTATATAAAATTACATTATTAGTTATTAGTTTTAATATTTATAAGAAAAAATATAATAAAGTTTAAACAAATAACAACTTTATTTGATTGAATTCGCATCATATTTTATTATTTTATTCAAAAAGTAATGACAATCTCCTTTTGTTTGAATCAAATAAATTAATTGAATCATCATTTGTTGATTAAAAAAATGTTAGATACTTATTAGATACAAGGATTGTAGAATAGTCACTGAATACCCAAGATCAGCTTTATGTAAAATGACTTCCAATTTTGTAAGTGACGCGAAAATCTCAGGGGAGCAATGGCCCTCACTGGTCCCCATCCGGGTGTCCCTGATTCAATATAAAACATTTACAACTATTTTTTAGCTTTCTGTGCAGCAAACTCTTTAATAATATCATTCCAACCTATACTTTTTAGGGAAATATTTACAATAGATATTAGAGACAACTATGACATATTTTCATTAGATAATTATGTTTTCTGGTAGTTCTTGACTCTTTTTAAAACTGAGAAGGATCTTTCTCCGCTAGCATTTGAACATGGTTTAAATATAAAAAGTTTTAAAGCAATTTCCACAATAGGAAATGAATCGTTTAACTTTAATACTGTAAATAATTAAAGAAAATTGTGCATAGATAATTTTTCATCTTCTGATAAATACTTCATTATTGTTTCAAATTATATAATCTCATTCTGAAGTTCCGGTTATAAGCACTATAAATATTTGCTATTTGCTTTGATTTTTCTCGTAAAATATCATCGTCAATTCCTTCCACATTAAGAAAAAAAAAACCCAAATAACTCGTTTATTTCAATATATACATTTGTATGCGCTTTCCACTCATATTGATTGAAAATAAAATATTAGGCACGTTTGTTTTCCAGTCAATCGTGATTCATGAATCGAACTCGACAATGACGACAACTATGACCACGAGACGAGAGAGAGAGAGAGAAAGAGATATAAGAAAAACAATTGTTTGGTAGTGTGTAAATAAATTATTTAAAACTATTATTATCAAATTTAATTATCTGATGGTTATAAATTATATTACACACATAGAGTTATATAAGAAGTACAATGAACAAAATGTTATGTCAGTGTAACGAAAATAAAAATGCATAGGTCCGAGCGCTAAATAATAATAATATGGGTTTCCCTTAATATGCTAAACGCCGAATAACGAAATAACTCAACGGTTTAATATAATATAAAATAATTATTATAATATTATATAATTGTTATTAATATTTTTCAATAATAAATTAATAATTCTTCCTAAAACTAGTTTATACATTAGAAAATTTTTAAACTTTTGTTGACGCCGTCAAAAAATTGCCGCCTGGGGCAGCTGCCCCCTTTGCCTCCCTCCCTTTAACCCGGAACTGCTTGTGTTTTATTTGATTTTTCACTAAGTATGGACCCAACAAAAAGCCCAATTCAGTATTCACAGGCACGCGTAATTTGATTTCGTTATAAAATAAAAAAATGTATAATGTGTATCTCACATATTCGTATAACATAATTCGATTCCTCAAATACAGATTCAAGGGGGGCGATCGCCCCCTTCGTCCCTCCCCTCTAAAATACGCCTTTGATTCAATGATTATAAAAAAAAAGATATATCTCTGGAACAGTATTGAAAAAAATTGTGGAATTTGGTCCGGGTCTATTCGATATGTTTCCCTTGATTACCGAACCGGCATATTGAAGCGGCAAAGTTAGATATTGAATATTGACAATAGACGATAATTACTGTTATGCATCCTTACTATTATCGTGTAACTAGCTCCAACAGCTCGCTGTGACTGCGAATGATTACTGCATATTACAAACCCAATTTATAATTTCTTTATTAAAGAGCAGTAATACGATTTTCGCTTTAGATCAGAAATAATAACGATATAATATATCAAATAATAACGACGGGTCTGTTGTGACCATTTTCGAAATGTGCCGAATACACGTCAACGTCAGTCCGTCAATTACCACTGACACGCATTGACTTACCGTTATTTTCATTGTAATCTATTTAAATAAATTTAAAATATGTATCTATATTTATCAATTCACTTCGTGTATACACCCTCAACACTTATACCTATCTATGTCGTCCGTTGTGCGAGACAAAGACAAAAACGAAGAACAAAGAACGAATTTGACACATAGACAGTAGTTTCTCAGTATTTCTACTCCCACTGACAGTGTAATTGATTTTCGAAAATAGAATATTATAGTTTTAAAATAAAAGACCTTTTTTATTAATTATGTGCAAAGATAAATAGTATACAGAATAAAGGTTTTAACTTATATGTTAGGTACCTAGTCAATAAGTATTAATAATATAAGTAATTTATAAACTATTATAAGTAGGTATAATAAAAATAAAAATTACATGGAATATCAAATTTTTTATTTTTCCACTAAAATTATTAATTAAAGTATATAATTATAAAAATATATATTTATTGAATTATATCTTGTAATGTTGTTCCACGTATTCCCACGTTGCTTGGGTTTTGTTCCACAAATGATATGTATAATCTACAATCACAAAAGAACATTTATAAAAATATCAAGTACAAATGTAACAAAAATAAGTTATAATTATTAAATTGTTAAATCATATTTAAATGCTCTATTTTATTTTTTGAAAAGATAATTAAAACCAAAAACTATTCTGTTCATTTTGAGAACTATAGAGCTTGAACAATTTACTGAAGCACATTGATCAACAGATATGATTAAAAAAAATTTAATGTTAAATAATATTTGGTGACAAAATATTGTAAAAAACTAACTTTAAATACAAATATTTGTAAAAAATAAGTTAAGTCAAATTATCATTATTTAAAATTGAATTAATGTATGGTAAAACATTAAGAGAGAAACTTTTAAAAGTATATCAATTTAATATTATAAAATTACGTTGCTCATTATCAAGAAATAATATTAGCTTCTTGAACTTAATTTCACCCCAAATTATCGAAAATATGCTACTTGTCTTCGTGAAAATCAAAGTTATTTTAAAAAAAAAAAAAACTATAGTAATCGAAAATTAATTATAATCAATGAATACCTACGATTAGCTAGTCGACAGTTATATGAAGGGTAGTATCTTATAAACTTTACAAGTAATAAGTATATTATTATTATTTCCAATCCTAGTAATATTAATTTTAATTCATATATTTTTATAAGTATAATTTTAATTATATACCATTAGTAAAATAAAATAGGTAATGATTTTATTAGTTTGGAACTGATTTTACCTGTCCTGTGGTATGCCAAGTTCTTTTTCAAGAAAATCATATAACACTGAAGAATAGTACTTATTTTCTTCAGTTCCATAGATTCCAGTTCCTGCTAGACTTCCAAGCCCACATAATGATTCATTATCATGCCAAAACATCTGTTGTCCAGCCTTGATGTTAACGGCAATATACTGTTTAAATAAAAATTGAGTTTAGTTTTAATTATTAATTCAAAGATTGCGAAGATTAAAAATAATGAAGTAAAACATTTTATTTTGCGAAAAGCCACTGATAGTTACAATTCATAGTTACAAATTACTATCATTAAAACATGTAAAACAAGAAAACATTAAAAAAAGATCATTGTTAGAGCTTATTGACAGTGGCAACGAACACGTATTCCAGGTAGTTGAACTGAAGTGCCTATAAAATTGGAATGTAAAAAAAAATGAAAATGATCATTATTCATTTTTTTATATATTACTTGACAAGTATTTTATATTAAAAATAGTATATTAATAATTAAATATTATATACCTAACATCTTTAATTATTAAAGATGCTTGAAAAAAATATTTTGGTATTTGAATGGGTGGTAAATTGGAAGGGGTGGGTAAATATAATTAATTAAACAATCAATTTCAATTTCATTCAGCGCCACTACTTATTGCAGATAATTGCCTAATTTCCATAATAGTATACCTACTAAATATTTTTCACATTTATAATAATTGTAAAAAGTAAAATTGTTTATTATTAACAAATTAATCATATCACTAGGGACTTTTATTTCATAAATATGAGTAGGTATTGGAATAATCACATATAAAACCTTATAATTAGTTGGTAATAAATTTCTATTTGTAATAAAAATATGAAACAAATCATAACTTAATATTTGAGAAAATGTATAAAGAATAAGTATCTACCTATAAGCATTAGTATTAATTACTACTATTCATATATTATTAATACATATAGAAACTTTTATTAAATACAAATATAAATGTAAATAACTAATTGAACACTTTCATACTGGTAGTTAAATAATCAGTGTACTACAAGTTTATAATAATTAATATAAAATAGTTTAAACTAAATTATGCTTTCATTATTTACCTTCTAAGAATTTTTATTTTTATTTTTTTTAATGGGTAATGTTTAATGTTTCTTAATGTGTTTTAAACTATTTTGTTTAACCTATCCATAAATAAAAGTATGTAAGTAGGTATAATACTTACTAGTTCAGGTACATTTAATATTTTGCTAACTAATTTCGATGCATCAGAGAGAAAAGTTGATGGGATTTTATGTTTTGGTAAATTAGTTATAACGTTAAAAGTTGGCATGTTGCTGAATGAGTATAATCAATATTAATATTTGAAACTGAATAAAATGTGAACGTTACGCGATATAAGTTGGAAAATATTGTAACTTATTAATATGATATTCATATTTTATAATTTCATATCGTTTTATTGTGTAATAGAATATAAAAAAAAATAATAATCAGCAAATTAAAAAATTAGTGACGTAATGAATATGAATTTATTTTATGTTAAATATGATGGTTATATAAACATGCAGGGCGTTTTAAGACATGGGTATAATGTTATATAATAATTTTCACAGCTTCGATAAACTAAATAATATCATATTTTATACATTAACTTATGTTTAATCGACTTATACAAATTTAAATGTTGGTACTTATACGTCCGAAAGAATTAAAAATTTAAAACTCCCCTCGAATATTTGTCTTTAAGTCTCAATTATTACATTGAGTATTCTGCTATTGGGTAATTTCCGGGTACCCCGGAATATCTTTATAAGGCTGTAATGTAATAGGTGCTTATTTTTTTTTGGAGGACGATAAGTTTTCTTTAAAATGATTAGGACCTAAATAATGTGAAATAAAATTTTATATACAGCCATTGATTAAATATATAGTGTGATCACGATTCAAGGTAACACTAAATATATTAGGTGGATGATCTTGTATTGAAGTGAATATTTTAGAGGCCATAGGGGGTACTTAAATACACATTCATTCGTGATTTTCAAAATTTTTAACGCTTATGATGTGCGCATGCGCAATACAACTTACATTTTTTTAAACGGAAACACTTCTTTTTTTTTACATATTCGGATAGATTACCTTTTTAAACATTTTTTGTCTTATAAGTTTCTTTCTATTTACAAAATTGACCGAGTTAGAGTAAGAGTCAAAATTTGAATACGGGCATAATTCGTGTATATCCATTTATTACCACTGTAAATAATAAAATAAGTGTCAGATAAATGTTTGACTTATTTTATCTGTTTACAAATAATAATTTAATAATACTGTAGGTCACCAGAATGAATATCTAGATTATGCAATAATTTTTGATTAGTAAACTGCTATAATACGATTAAAATTTTAACTATTTTACAGTGGAATTTTATTTTATTTTACAATACCCCAAATTACGATAACATAATCAGTTAATGTGATTTTGAAGGTATGAAGATAGTTTGATGAAAAATATAATTTAAATTTTATTCTTTAACTAGACCCGAACCAAAGTGTGTGCGTTATTCATGTATGTCTGGTCATAAAGTGCTTCTATAAATTATAATTGTTTAAATATGAATAACACTGAAAAAGTTGAGTTAATTTAAATTTATGGCGAATGTCAGCGTAATGCACGCCTAGCTGCTTGGATATATGCCGAATGATACCCATAAAGATACCATCCACCTTATAGTTATGTTGTACAACTTTTACAAAGGTTAATTCAGGAAAGAAGATTTCCTGGCAGGAAAATCAACCAACAAAGGCGTAGATCAAATATGTTTGATGACAATACAGAGTTACAGGTACTAACATACATAAGAGCTAATCCATGTTCGTCAATTAGATATGTTGCTTGCAAAATTGGAGTTTCAAATGGTTATGTCCAAAAAATTCCTAAAAAAAAAACATAAAATGCACCCATATAAAGTCGATTTTGTTCAACACTTGCGTGTAGGAGATTCAATTCATTGGTTAGAATTTATAGCATGGTTCATTATTAAATTTTATAATAACCCTTTAATAATCAATCATATTCTTTGGAGTGATGGATCAAAATTTACTAACAATGGCGTTATGAATAAACAAAATTATCGATACTGGGATGACACAAATCCACACTGGTCACGTGAAACCAATTTTTAAACGGTTTGGTGAATTAATGTATGGTGCGGGTTAGTTGGTGGAAAGCTAGTAGGGCCGTTCTTTTATGATGGAACGCTTAATGGTAGACGATATCTTAATTTTTTAATCGACGAGCTATCAAGACTGTTGTAAGATGTTTCATTAGAAACACGAGGACGTATGTTTTTCCAGCAAAATGGAGCACCAGCTCACAATGCAGTTATTGTTACACGAAAATTAGGTCAAATGTTTCCGAATCCCTGGATTGGTACTTATGGCGTCGTTCCTTGGCCTGCACGATCCCCAAATTTAACGCCATTAGATTTTTTTTTATGGGGATATTTGAAGACTGTGGTTTATGCAGATCCATCTGTCAACCTTCAGGACTTAAAAAACAAAATAAAGGTAGTTTGTGATATTTTAAGTGAGGACCAAATCAAGGTGGCAACTTCGACTGAATTTTTGAGGTGACTTGAATCGTGTTTAGAACATTATGGCAAACATTTTGATCAAGTCATAAGATAAATTACAGTAATACATTTCATTTTGTATTTAATATAAATATTACTATCATCATTATAACTATTTTTTTACCTTACATTTAATTAATACAGTTGACAAAATTCAAAAATATATCGTAAACTAAAAATTATATTTATAGTTATTTCATTCTTATTTTATTATTTACAGTGGTTATAAATGGATATTCAAGAATTATGCCTAAATTCAAATTTTGACTTACTCTAACTTGATAGCTTGAACTCAATTTTGTAAATAGAAAGAAACTTATAAGAAAAAAAAATGTTTAAAAAAGTAATCTATCCGAATATGTAAAAAAGAAGAAGTGTTTCCGTTTAAAAAAATGTAAGTTGTATTGCACATGCGCACATCATAAGTGTTAAAAATTTGAAAATCATGAATAAATGTGTATTTAAGTACCCCCTATGCCCTATAAAATATTCACTTCAATACAAGATCATCCACCTAATATATTTAGTGTTACCTTGAATCGTGATCACACTATATATTTAATCAATTATTGTATATCTTAATTCATGGTTACTAGAATCGATCTTTTTTTTTGGTGGGGGGAGGGTGAGATCACTCCTCTTAATTTACGTGCATAGTATAAGCCTTATAGTATATGCCTTATACTATAAGGCATATAGGTATCGTATAATCATGAGAACACTTATTATAATATATTATGTAGTAGAACAAATCAATAATTCAATAATTACCTATTATAAACATTTTATTTGTGCAATTCCTTCATCTTAAGTTAAAGCTTTCTAATCTAACCAATAATTTATTATTGTCCTCCTCCTTTAACTTCATGCGAATCCAAAGAACTAATTATAAGTAAAATAAGTAAAACACTGTAATGTTTAATAAACAAAGATTTTGATAAAAAATAAATAAAAAAAATTGTGCCTAGTTAACGCAAAAATTATGATTATCAGGTTATTGAATATTGATGGTGTTAAAAATGATGATTACATATTATTGAAATCACTACAAATACCAAGTACCTTGATCCTAACTTAATAAAGCTAATAAGTAGTTTCTGCTTTTGATTTTGTATGATAGAAAATGGCAATTGTACACCTTGGTAGCTGCCTTATCTCTACAGGTTTTGTGATTAAAATTTACTATCAACATTTTCTTATATAGGTAACTATTTACAGTTATGTTAAAATAATAATTCATAAGTAATATTATACTAAAAAATTCTACAGCAGTAGACATTAGCTCTTATAGTAATAATATTAGTACCATATAGTATAAAAACTGTATCATACAGCCCAACAAATATAATTATAACTTTCAACTGAAATTATTTTAATACATTGAAATCTTAATAATGGCTCATCATTTTAAAGAAGATGATATTGATGGTATGGTATTTAAAATATACATATTATAGTTGACTGAAACACCCTTATTCATAATAATTGTATTAATGTATGTGTTCACCTATATATTTTTCTTTTTTAGAGTTCAGAGAATGTTTTTATTTGTTCGCCCGAGAAGGTACAATCAATAAATTAGAAGAGCTTAGCATAATTATGCGATCTTTAGGGATGAGCCCAACAATAACTGAGTTAAAGAAATATTTCTCAGAAAATAGTAAGTGCAAATTAATTGGATGGATTTAAAATCAGATAATATATTATTTATGAGTTTACTGCAGAAAATATTTAAAATTAAAGAAGAAATATTTAAAAATTATGATTTTATCTTTATACTTTGAAATCATTGATAATTTAAATTATGTTTCGTGTTACTTAAAATATTGTATAATTTTTATTATTTAAATCAATTTTATTCTTTCTGTCGAATTGGAGCTATGAAGTAAACTGTATTTTATATTTATTGACCATCATATTTTATAATTTATTGTGATATAATTACATTAATTATTTTATTTAAATTACATATGTATATTAATTACTTTACTTTTATTTTTAGATGGAAAATTACATTTTCCAGAGTTTTTGAAAGTAATGCATAACCACTGTCGTGTAGAAAAACTACCTGATGAAATTTTAGCAGCATTTAAAGCTAATGATCGCCAGCATAGTGGAACTATACATAGTAAACATCTGAAACATTTGCTGCAAGGATGGGGAGAAAATTTAAATAGCAAAGAAGGTGGGTATATATATTATTTATAAAATAAAAAACTTTTTGTTTACTAAAATTTTAATATTCTTTAGTTGAACAAATTTTTCGGGAAGCCAATGTTTATCCAAATGGTAAAGTGAACTATGATGAATTTGTAAAAATTGCTTGTGCACCGATTCCTGATTATTACTGATAATCAGTTATAACTATTTAATTAATACTCAAATATGCTCTACTATGTTATAGAGTAATTAAAAATATTTGGTGGTTATTAGGTATTTATCTTATTATTTGTTATTAATAAAGTATTATGCACTGAATTTTGGGTTACAAGCAATAACACGGTACTTTATATTTAATATATATATTTATATTTTGTGATCAACAATTAGTTTAAAAAAGATTAAAGTTTAATGTATAAGTCATGTTTCAGTACATTGATTATAGAGACTAAAAAAATTATGAAAACTTTTTGTATCAGAGTAAAATTAATAATTTAAAAAAGTTCTTTATTACTCTTTAGTCCTTTCACGACAAGCCTTAATTTTTGTTTTAATATGTTTTAATATGTTTTACAACTAGCACACACAATTGTGTATATAAATCTATACTATCTTTAGTCCTGCCTGATTAATTGATTTTAGTAATTGGTATTAACGAACCTACACAAATGTGTGGTTGGTTTTTTAAAATTGTATGATTTTATATTCGTTTTTAATTAGACACACGCTAACCTACACAAATGTGTGTGTTCGTCGTGAAAGGGTTATATTAGGATTAGAGAATTTATTTTTCATTAAAATAATTGTTTCAGTAAGTTATTAACTAGTAACCTATTCAAGCATTATCTTGTACCATTATGTGCAAGATGTATACTCAATATAATACAGTTTTCATAGTTTCGTATACATTTCATTATTTATTGTTAAAATTATAATTTTACCATAAAGTATTATTATGTATGCATATTCATATTAAGTTATATAAACTATTATTCTTATTTTTCTGATTTTTATTAATTTTGTAGTTAAGATTCAAGTTTTAATAATTATATATTAAATATATTTTACATTCTTGTTTACAATACAATGTTAAAAATTATAGTATTTGATACTAGATTTTATGACTTGTTGAAATTGTGGATATATAAATTGTGAATTCACTTTGTAGTTTGTATATTATATATTTTGATATAATAAATATTTTATTTTTATTTTGCTTAAAAAATTGTTAGTTTATTATCGTGAATGTTTTAAGTATTGAAATATTTTTACTATATCTAATTTATTAATTTAGACATTATACTGTATAAAAATTATGTATAAATTAATTTTTTTATAGGTACATAAAAAAATTACACATTTAGTGGATTTATGTTGTGTAATAGTTTATATTTTATAATATATTAAATGTTAATTTACAAAAAAATTTTCTCGAGTGGTTTAAATTATTGACCTTTAAAAACATGATAATATATATTGAGCAACGATTAAACAAAAAAAAAAAAACCTTTTTTTGTGTAAATATTCTTAATATAAGATTATATGAGATTAATTATATGATCAATTATATAAAATTAAAATATACATATAAATTTAACTCTAGCTATCAATTTATATACTATTGATATTTAATTTGTTTAGTTTCAGTTTAATTTGTTACCCAACAGAGAAATAATATTTTAGTCCTTTGGTACAAATAATTTTAAAAATGACCATTGTAAAAATTAATACAAATGTTCCTTCTTCTGATATTGATGAAAAATTATTAGAACAAAGCGTAGAATCTCTAGCTAAAACTTTTAAAAAACCAAAATCTGTAAGTATATTATTATTTATTAATTTTAAAGTAATAAAACAGCATATACTTTCTAAATAATTAAATTTTTTTCTCAAGATAAAATATTAAAGAAAATTATTATTTTTAGAATATTTTGGTGTTTGTTAATGGAGATCAGCCTATTATCTTTGCTGATTCGGAAGAACCAGCAGCACTTGTAACAATATGGAGTGTAGATGGAATAAATGATGTTGATAATAAACTTCACTCGGCTACATTATTTCCATTGCTAGAAAAATATTTAAAAGTCAATGAAGACAGGTAAGCAAATTATCTAACCTACAAAAATAAGTTTGATCAATTTAAATACTACCTAGTAATCCTTCTAGAAGATATTAACGTTTTTTCTAAAGTTAATAAAACTTTGTAAATAATGTATAGCTGTAGTATAAAATATGAACATATCTACATAAACACATCCTGTAAGCACTTATAGAAAAATTCTAAAATAGTATAAGAGTCTTAATATTGTCTATTTTATTAGGTTTTGACTTCTTACTTTGTCCAAATGATATATGTAATATATCTATAGAAGGTTGTTAGAAATATAGTCATGATTACAAATCCAAAGATAAATACATTAAGTTGCGGTTCTTCAATTAAAATAATAATATTGTAAGCCTGATCAACAAAAAACTGAAAATTTAAGCAAAAAATATTTATGATTTAACTAACAATTTTAATTGTTCCATCATACTTTATAAGTTTAGATTCAGTTTGTCTCTATAATATGCTATTACTTTTATGTGGATTATGTACCTAGAATAATGAGCATTATTACGAGTAAGGCGAACTAGGAATTTTTATGCCTAGGAAAAATGTAAAATTATGCTCTATCATAGACCAAAAATCAAATACCCTTCCCTACCATTTTTTTTTTAATAATTAGCATACAGTCATACCTATTGATTTTTAAACATATTATCAATAACACAGTTAAAAATATTAAACTAGGTATTAATCAATTGAACGCTTAGAAGTGAATCCCTGTCTTCTTCCCCCTAGTTCCGCCACTGCAATTATGCTAGTATACAGTAATGCCCAAGTTATTCTGAAGTTGTTAGAAGCGTTATAAACATAGCACATAAACATGGGTTTCAGCATCATGTATTATGTAAAATTATATGTGTATAATAATTGTGAAAATAGGACCATTGCTATATTTTATGAAAAAAAAATTAAATAATAAAAATAAATATTAAATGTCATATTCTTTTACAATATGTATCTACTTATATATATTTATCTATATATTTCATAAGTAATTTTTATTTTTTTTATTTTAGAATTTCAATAGCATTTAATGCAGTTGAATCACACAACATGGGAATCAATGGAAAAACTTTCAATCAATAAAATATTATCAAAAATATAATAAAAATTTATTTTAAATCACAAATATTAAAATGTAACTTAGTAATGTATTTTTATCACCATAGTTGATAAGTATCTAATATTAATTACAAACTAGGAACTTATAATATGAGATATTATACATCATTGACTTGAGAATAGTATATACTAAAATCAATGATTTTATAGAATTGATTAGTATATATATTTATCGATATGTACTTTTCTTACCCTATGCCTCATGTATTATCTATAGGGGAATAGAGTGCAATCAGTTTTTTAATCCAATAATACAGTATATCGAAATTAAAAATTTATTTTTTGACCTTGTACGTCTAAACATATGGGTAAGAGTTCTTAGTTAATGTCTATCCAGTGGACTAATGAACGAAATCGCCTGCTCCCAGAGACTATGGGGTCGAATTTACAGTGTTCAAATTAATTATAACATGACTTGAGCAAAGTTATACAAATATGTTTAAGGGAACAAATAACTGTTGAAAAAAGCAAAATCTTCTGAAAATTATGGCCATTCAAGTACTCTGCAATAAATTAAAAATATTTTTTTTTTTATGTAACCTAATAAATAAACAAATATTTGATTTACAACAAAGAATTACAATTGTTATTACCAAATTAAGTATTTTTATACACTCCATCTTAGAATTCTTAGAACGTCCCAACAAAACCCTAGCCAAATACAGAACCCTAAATATGGTGGAATAAAATATCTATATCAAGAAATGTTAATACAGACAAAACGGTCGCACAAAATGAATATACTATTGTTATTTTTTTTCGAAAAGGACGGCAGGAGGCTGTTCACAACCATTTTTGAAAATAAGTCTTTAAAATATTTTACTATTTTAATAAAAAAACAACGGTAAAGACAAAAGAGACAAGAATTTTCAATACTAATAACAATAAAATATATGAACATTCATTACGTGGTTTTTTATAGAATGTTTAATTTACAATAATAGGGTACACTAATGTACCTATTACCTATTTTTAAATATAAAATATTGTTCATTCAAGTTTACTAATCTCCAAAGTAATGTTTTATTAGGTTTATATTATTTACCACCACATTATTTAAATTTGAATGTAATATTGATTCTACCTGGGTAGACTATAATATTCTTGATACTACAGAACTAGAGACGTTGCGATACTGCCGATACCGATAAAGTATCGATACTTTTCTTTCGATACAAGTACTTTTTGTATCGATACTATGGTTTTGATACTTTACTCGTATAGATAATAAAATACTGGTATCGAATGAATAGTATCGAATCATTTACTAACCGCCGAATTGTTTCAAATTAAGACGTTGGCAACACAAAGCGTAACAACTTGCTTAGATATATTAACGTGAAGCATCAGGATTTTCAAAAAAATTTGAATGAGAAACAGTGCATTCATGTTATGAATAAAAAATAAATCGCTATATTGATCCTTCTATTCTCGCACACGCTAAAGAAAAATAGTTAGAAATATTTAAAAATAAATAAATAGAAACGACATTCAAGTAAGGGTGAATAGGAACTATTAAACCTACAATAGACCTTAGTATTAGGTCGGTTAATATTTTTTTTATTATTAAAATAAATTGTTGTATCTAAATAAAAACTTCTACATTCAAATAATATTCCGTGACACACGGATTAACCACACCGCGACGGAAACAACGATGAGGTTGATAATCCATGTCTAATATTACTTGTCTTATTCTATTCACGTTTATTAAATATTATCATTCTTACAAATTATATTTTTTAAAATTCCTGCCCATTGTATATATTAATACTAATAAAATAAAAAAATAAATTATTATTTATTTTTCTTTAATTATTAAAGTGTAATTAATTATTAAAATATTGTATTTATTTTCTATATTATAGTAAACAGCTGAAATCTAGAATCCGATTCAGAGTACAACAAACTTATGAGTGATAATCACTTATTTACTTAATCCCAGGAATAACGGTACATCGTTTTTAGTTTGAATATAACTGCAATTATAACAAAATTGATTAAATTTATCTTTTTAAGCTTCGAATTAATTTTTTTATACTTAATCCATTAACTTATTAAACTTAAAATAATTAAGTATTCTCTGTTATTTAAATAATATTTTTCCATTACTTAAATCAATTTTTCTCCTTTCTATATTTATTTTAATTATTGACACTCTAAATTTATAAATTAAATTTCAATTTATTTAAATTGGTATTTGTTTTTTTTTTTATTATTAAATATATTTTTGTGTTTCGTCTGCATGAGTAATCTTTAGACCCCTTTTCATTTTTTCTTTTGTTATTAAAGTATTCATTTTTATTAACAATTTAAAGTATAATGTTTTTAATAACATTTATTTATGTTTTTTTAGTACATAAATAATGTTTAAAATTATGACATCATTTATATATTCCCCGTCCTCCAGGTACAAGGAAACTTTTTTTGGCATATTTCTTTTATCGCGAATAAAAAATATTTATAAATATGACTTTTACGTTATAAAATATACTATATTTTCAATATTTAATCCATATTTAAAAAAAAAAATACGTTTTAGGAGCCGGGTAAACACTTAATTTTTTTTGCATTTTATACTTTTTTATATATAATGTTATAAAAATCAAATTCATTTAATTTACATAAAATATCTTAAAACATTTAAATCATATGATTCAACTTAACTAATATTATTAGTCTAATAATAATAAACTCTTAATCAATCGCATTCATATTTATAAAATATATTTAAATTTAAATTAATCAATCCAATTTTATTTCAAATATTCAAATTTGAATAAATTTATTTTTATTATTCTTTTCATAACTTGGATTTTTTTTTTTTTCTATCAGTCTAAGCCAAGATTAATTTAGAAGTCGGGTAAGTACTTTTAATTTTTTTTTTTGCATTTTATACCTTTAATATATAATGAAATAAAAATCAAATTCATTTAATTTACATAGAATACTTAAAACATTTAAATCATAGACTTCAAATTAACTAATAATAATATATTCTTATTAAATCGCGTTCATCATTATAAAATATAAATAAATTTAAAATAATCAACCAAATTTTATTTCAAAATATTCAAATTTAAATTTATTTCTTTTTATGTTTCTTTCCATAACTTGGATTGAAACCAGGACACAAATCCTTTTTTGGCATACTTTTTTTGTCGGGATTAAGAAATATTTATAAATATTATTAATTGTTATAAGATATTGTAAATTTTAAATATTTTATCCGTGTTTCAAATTACAATACGTTGTTATATTTGTACATAGTAATATTCTAACAAGCGCTATAGCCTAATAGTTTCAGTAAAAATTGTTTTGAAACAGAAACATAAATGAGAATGTCTACAAAATATTGCAAATTTAACAGATCTTGGTATTTCATTGGTTAATGTATTTTATAAATAAAATAAATTGTTGTACTCGTATATAAAAATTATTTACATTTAAATAATTTTTTTTGGCGGTAAACCACAACGATTAGCAATAATGAGGCAGATAATCTATATCTAATTTTAATTGTTATATTCTATGTGGGTTTGTTAAATATTTTAATTTTGATATTTAATTTTAATAAATTTTTTTTTAAATCTTAAATCATACTTGATTATTTAAGTATTGTTGTTGTTTATTTTATTACAGTAAATAGCCAAAGTCTAGGAGCCGATCCAGAGTGAAAAGAACTTACGAGAGATAAATATATAAGAACTTACTTTCTTCCACAAATACAGGTACGTCGTTTTTTTTTTTTTAAATAACAATTGTAATTATATTTAAATAAATTATATTCATGTTTTTATAGCTACTATTTTATTTTTTTATATTTAATCCATTACCTTTTTAAAACTTATAATAATTAAGTATTCTCGGTTGTGTAAATAATATATTTCTATTACTTAAATATATTTTTCCATTCAATATTTATTTAAATTGTTGATACTCTAAATTTATAAATTGAATTACATTAGTGTTTATTTTTTTTTATTATAATCAATATTTTTTTTGATATTTGAAATAATTCAAATATTAATACATTGTTATATTTATACGTAGTTATATTCAGGGTCAGCGGAAGACACATGCGACCTGTGCAACCGCATAGGGCGGCAAATTTTTTTGGAATTTTAGGGTGACATCCTTTATAAATAAAAATATGTATTTTTCATCATTACTCATTATATTTACTCATTGTAAATTGAAAATAATGCATATTATATTATTTTGACTGGCACTGTGATATATTATATTATGTAGTTTACGTGTTTACGGATCTTAGCGAACCCGGGGTCTTGAGCTCTTGTTTGGTTATTTGTAGGTAGTGATGATCAGCTGTTCAACTGTTTTGGCTTCGAATTAGGGAATTGTTTTTACTGTTTGTTGTTGGTCTGCTTTTGTTCTTCGGCTTTTGTAGTTTGTGTTAGGTATTTGTATAATGGATTGTTCATGTTGTGGTCTTGGATATATTGGTTGTCTATTTTTATGCGTAATAATTCTAGATTTTTTTTTTTTTTTTTTTTTGTTGTTTTTAGTTAGTATTAAAATCTTTTGGCGTTTAATTAGGAAATCGTTTATACTCTTTGTTACAGTTCTGTTTTTGTTCTTCGCCTTTTATGATTTGTTTAAGTATTTATTGTCCCCCAGAGGAACACATTCGTACGTGTTTACGGGTCCTAGCGATCCTGGGGTCCCAAGCTCTTGTTTGGTTGTTTTAAGGTAGTGATGATCAGCTGTTCAACTGTTTTGGTTTCGAATTAGGGAATTGTTTTTACTGTTTGTTATAGATTTGTTTTGTTCTTCACCTTTTTTTTTGTGATTTGTTTTAGGTATTTGTTCGATGGATTGTTTTTCATGTGGTATTGCATATATTTGTTGTCTATTTTTATGAAAGATATTTTTTGGTTTTTTAAGTTGTGTTATAGGTCTGTATTTGTTCTTCGGTTTATGTGGTATGTGCTAAGTATTCATTTAATGAATTGTCCAATTTGTGGTGTTGAATAAATTTGTTGTTTATTTTTATCAGTGGTATTTCATCGTTTCTTTTTTCGGGTTGTTTATTATAATGTGTTAAATAGTATTGATTTTTTGCTTCTAAATAAGAATATGATTTTTACTGTTAGTTACAGGTTTGTTTTGTTCTTCAGCTTTCTTTTTGTCATTTGTTTTAGGTATTTGTTTAATGGATTGTTCTTTATGTGGTATTGGATATATTTGTTGTCTAATTTTATGACAGGTATTTATTGGTTTTTTAGGTTGTGTTCAATTGAATTGTTTTTTATATTTATTTTCAGATCTTGGATTTTTTTTTTTTTTGGTCCAACTTAAACCAAGGATTCTTCGGGAGCAGGGTAACCACATTTAATTTTTTTTGAATTTCATACCTTGAATATATAATGGAATAAAATAATTTACATAAATATCTTAAAACATTTGAATCATATGATTCAAATTAACGAATAATAATAAACTATAATAAATAGCGTTCATAATTATCAAATATATATATATATCAATTTAAATTAATTAATCTAATTTTATTTCATAATATTCCAATTTTAATTAATTTATTTTTATGTTTTATTTCAGAACATGGATTTTTTTGCGTTTCAACCTTCATAAGGATACATTCGGAAGCTAAGTAACCATTTTAATTTTTTTTTTAAATTATACACTTTAAATATTTAATGGTATAAAAATCAAATTCAATTAATTTACATAAAATTTCTTAAAACATTTGAATCATACGATTCAAATTAATGAATAATAATAAACTATTAGATATATATTTATGTTTCTTTTTAGAACTGGATTTTTTTTTTATTAATTTACTTAAATGAAATATCCATCAGGATCTAGGGAACACATTTTAATTTTTAATGGTATAAATTTGTAATTTTGTAACTCACTTAAAATATTATAAAAATCTAATAAAATATTTAAATTAAAGCTTTATATCCTACTATTTATAAATCATGTTTAAATATTTAAATGAATAATAAATCTTTATATAATTACTCTCATTATCCTAAAATTATTTCTGTTTCTTTTTAGAACTTGGATTTTTTCATCATCTACCTAAATCAAAACTCTTTCAGGAGCCAAGTAACCATTTTTCTTTTGTTTTTTTCATTATTAACTTTTAATTTTTAATGGTATAAATATAATAATTTTGTAATTTACTTAAAATTTTTTAAAAATCTAATAAAATATTTTCCTTTCGATATCACGTCCCTATACAAAACATATTATACACAGAACCGATTTTGTTCCGTGTCTAAAGCCTAGAATATTTGGTAATGATAACGTTGAATTCAAAAAATTTGACGAGAACAGGTGTAGAAAAAAAACTGGCTACAATAACAGGTCGTCTCGCGTACATGACGTAATATAAGAGACGTGATCATAGTCGGGTCGGTAATCACTTATATGCTATATTGTTATTATCGTTCTGAACTTCATATTTTTGATAAAAACTAAATGTTAGATTCCAAACAAGTTCTATGTTCATGTTAATCATTCGCCGCAGTTTTCTATCTGGGCTGTAGCGATTGTCTGTATTTTTATTTTTTTAATAATATTACTTATTCTTATGTTATTCTATTATTATTACTATTATTGTTGTACCACAACATCCACTGTATCGATTATATAGTATATTTAAGTGTATCGAGACGTTATCGACGGTAATACGAACACGTATTTTACGCATTATTTTCTCATACCGAAATCGTAGATTATTGTTGTTGAATTGCAACAGGGTGAGTTTTATAGATTTTTAACGCATGGCCATTAAAACTATTGAAAATTAAAAATATGAATCACTACTTTTTCATTTTCATTTTTTTTTCCTTTATCCAATATTGCGTTTTAGGTGAAATGTGTTTACCCGAGTTGCAAAAACCTTCTGAAGAATCATCAGTATCGGATGTCGATGTAGTAGTTGAGGAACAAAGTGATGAAGATAATCAGTCTGTTTCCGATAATGAATCATCATCAGATACCAGTATAGGTAATGAATGAATTTATTTGGAAAGTTTATCAATTGCTCTATATAGTTTAATGAATTATTGTATACATACATTTAATACAAATATTTTTACATCAATTTAATTTATTCTTCTTTTTCTTTTCCTTCACTTTTGTTCTAACTATTTGGGATCGCCACACTTGTTCTAAACCTCCACTTGTCTCAATTTTCTACATCCCCTACGTACACACCAATAGCCCTCATTTATTCTTAATCATATCCAACCATCTCTTTTTGGTCTTCCTCTTGTCACTTCAACTTTTATTTTCATAATCATTCTTACTGCTTTTAATTCCTCTCGCTTCATCAAATGCGCAAACCATCTCAGTCTATTTTTCTTATCTTGTCCACTATTGACATTACACCAATACTACCTCTCACATATTCGTTCCTTATTTTATCTTCTATTTTCTTAAAAATGAATTTGATTTATTAAAAACCAAACTATTTTTAGGCAAATTTTCTTTGTTTCATTTACACTTTTTTTTATAGATAATTGTAGTTTGAACAGTTTGAACAGTTGGACAAATGCACATAGTTACGACGACATATCTATGTCAGACGACAGTGATGATGTAGATGAAGTACTAAATGGTCATGACGATTCATCTGATGATGACTTTCCTGATGAACTCTTGGAAGGTGATGAAGATATGAATGACGATGATGATAATGATGATGATGATGATGATGTTGGTGGTGACGAAGAAGAAGAGGTTGAAAGAGATGATGAGAATGATGATGATAATAATGATGACGATGAAGAAGAAGAAGATGACGATGTGGTTGCTGCTTTTATTTCTGCTCGTTCGGAAAAAAATAGAAACCATCCACCTAATTTGTCCGTTGGTAATGCTTTAATTGGTGGAATCTCTTTCCACCCAAACGTAAATGTCATTGCTCTTGGTCTTTCAAATGGTGATATCGCTATGTATGCACTTTCTTATAAAATATAAATTATCTCTATGTATTTTAAAATATTTGTTGTCCAATTTATAGGCATAAATATTCAAATGAAAAAAATGAACATCTTAGAACAAATGACAATGTTCATTTAAAAAAAGTAATGGTATTAGAATTTGATGAATCTGGTGACAGCATATATTCAGCTTGTAGGGATAATAACGTTTCTGTGTCTGATACAGAAACCGGAAAAATGAAAGTATACTTTGAAAAAGCTCATAGAGCTGGGTAAGTAATTTTTAAACATGATTATTTTCTATAAATTATTAGTATAAATCATTTTTTTTTAATAGGAGTTTTGTAACTGCACTTTCTTTTATTAATGTAAATACATTTGCCACTAGTGATGAAGATGGTGTTGTTAATGGTAATAGTACAATTTATTAAGCATTAATCAATAACTACCAAATATTTTTCTTGGTTTTTAGTTTGGGATATACGCGCAAACGGATGTAGTTTTTCATTGAAAAAAACCGATGAGGCAATTAATTCTATGATAACTATTGACAATAGAAGCAATCAACCAACATTAGCTTGTGCATCAGGTGATGGGACATTGACCATTATTGATATATCATCAAAAAAAATGGTTATCCAGGTATTGTGATTTTTAAATAATAAAATAGTGATCTAATTTTTTTTTTTATAAATTGAAAACAAAGCTATTAATATAATTTTATTTCAGTCCGAACCTTATAAATCATTACTAACCAGTTGTGTAACAATGAAAAGAAAAACCAAAGTAGTATGTGGTACTGGTGAAGGATCACTAATAACATTCAATACAGGAGACTATAGTGCGTTCAATGATGAATTTCCATGTGTTGATAAGGGTGCAGCAGTCAACCGATTAGTTCCAGTTACAGAAAACATAATAATAAGTGCTTTAGACAACGGAAAAATCAGGTATATTGCATTTGTAACATTTTTTTATTAATTGAAATTATGAAAAAATTATTATTATATTTAGGGCTACAAATTTATTCCCCAACTGTCATCTTGGTATTGTTGGTCACCATCAGGAAATGTCTGTTGACCTTTTGGATATATCAGATAATGGCCATTATATAGCTTCAACATCTTATTTCAGTAATATTGTTAAATTTTGGAATATTGCATTTTTTGAAGATTTTGATGTAAAAAAACATTTTAAGAAAATCAATCCAAAAGAATTTAATTTACCATCTTCAAATGTCGTTAATGCTACAGACTTCTTTTCAGGTTTAGAATAAATGTGTAAAAATGTTCTTGTGGTGTATTGTATATAATAATATTTAAATATTGTAAAGACTAATGCAATTTATATTATTAGATTGATTTAAAAAAAAAATGATTTACATAATTTTTTTATTTATATGTTTCCTTTATCATAGTTTTTGTTAAAGAAAGTGAATATTTGATATAGTGTTAAAATAACTGTATTGATACTTATCAATGTATTTTAGTACTTGTACTGTAAGATAGTGATTCTCAAACTTTTTTGCTATACGGCTCTAAAATTAATGTAAAACTGTCAATGCTCCCTTAATTAAAATCATTAAATATTTTTTTAATAATAAAAGTTATTAAAATATATTTTGTAAATTAATGCTTAACTTTTGAAAAATTTTAAGTTTACATAAATGCTAATAAATTGAAACCTAAAAAAAATAGTTTGAACAAAACAAATATTTCATGGTCCCCTAGTTCGAGAAGCACTGCTATAAGCAACAACTGTGAATTATATATTGTTGAATTTACTTAATTATAAAAAAATGAATTTGTAATTTATAAAAAAAAAAAATGTTACAGCTTGATAAACTGAATTATATGAACAATAAAATGTTACTATATAATAAAGTTGACTATGTCAAATTTTAAGAAAATGGGTATTCTGTTATCGATAATAAAATATAAAAAATTATTCAAAGAGAAATATACTAACAGGGTAAGGCAAAAATCCATAACTCATAAGTTAAAATTGAATGTGATTTCTTGAATTTTATGATATTATCATACATAATCTAAACTGATAAAAAAATTATTTTCTTTAATTTTATTATTTAGGTCAACATGTAATATAAATATATATAGACAATCAATTATACTTTTTATTTATTGATGTATTGGTTTAATGATTTTTCTTTTTTTTTTTTGCAGTAAAATATATATTTTCTTCTCTGTATATATTTTTGAATGCTACAAAAATTAAAACCAATAATTATAAGTTATTATAAATAATAATATAAATTAAGAATGGGTTAATAAATTACAAGTGAATCAACAAAAAAAATAAATATTTTTTGTAACTCCATTACCTTTTTTAATTCAAAACATATTTTCTTTTCATTTGGTAAACTTTTATTTTTATTTCAATTATAAAACGGAATGCATGTAAAAAACTTTGTGGATTACTTGATGATTAAATAAATATAATAACTAAAATTATATTGAATTAATTATTGTACATAAAATTATTGCTAAAGTATATTTCTAATTGATCATAAACAAAATGTGGGTATTACTACATTGTAATGTTATTCTAATATTAAAAATTAAATTAAAATTCTTAGTTAAAATTCAATAATTATAAATATAAAATAAATTAACATCATTTTTAGGTAGACCATTAGTATTGGCATATAATATATGAATTTAAAATGTGTTAAACAGGAGTCAAGAGTTTATCGTGACCCAGTTTGATCAGGTCGATAATAGTGAGATGAAGGGTGAGATGGATGTACAGGTGGAGGAAAGCACCTTACATGTTCTACTGCACTGGCATCAGTATCGTTAGCTTTTAAATATTTGTTCAGCGTGGCAAATATCTGTGAATTTAGTACTTGAAAACGACGTATTCTATCAACCATGCGCTTTAAGTGCTGCAAAATAAAATATAAATAAAATATAGTATAATCATTGGTATACATAATACATACAATTCCTTTGACATTATCATCTTTGCTGTCTACTCTCTGGACCCGAAGTATATGATAACAAAAATCAAGCGCTTCAAATCTTCTTTGCTGGCCAAGAAGAACAATCATAGTGCAGCCAGCCCAATGAAGACCTTCACCAAAAAGTTCTCTGAAACATTATTATTTGATGAAAGTATATGGAAGCATATGAGGTCAAACTTTTGCATTCACTTACTCAACAGTAAATTCTGTATCACCAACCGGTATACAGTATACGAATTGCAGAGCTGACCATAATCTATGAAATTCTGTACACTCATCTATGTTCATTACACCATTCTGCGGCGGTGGACCAACCCATACAGGATCATCTAACATACCACGAAGTCTTGATAGCACTACTTCAAATATTGATAAACCACAACATAAACGTTCACGTGTTAATAGGTCTCCATCACGAGCTATTGCAACTTGCTAAAATTAAAATTGATATGTAAATAAAATAATTGTTTGATTTATTTTATACTACTAACTTTAGCTGTTCCAAAACGCTCAATATTAGGAACAATTTGCAATGCTGCATACTTTGCTTCTAATCTTTTTTGTTTACTTTCGGTCTTTTCCCCTTCCTTAGTGAAAGGTCTCGGTAATATGTTTTGGAATGGTGCAGCATGTAGAAGATCACACACTTCTTCTTGAGACAATGCTTGTTCCATTAATAAGCAAAACAGAATTGTATTGCCTAATTCTCGGAAATTATGAAACAATTCAGTTTTTGCATCAGGATATTGTACTATATCATTGAGTTGAGCATGGTAGTAGCCTAAGACACCAGGCGATCCATAATCATATCGCGGCAATTTGCACTGTCTGGGCATTGCTTCCATCAATGTTTTTGCAAATTGTAAAAGATTCCCTTGAATCAATGACTTGACTATTTTTAACAACTCTTCCATAACAACAGCAATTCCTTGATAGCCTAACATTTTGCACATGGTACGAAAATGCGGAGCCCCAACAAATCCTAAATTAAAATAGCATTAATTTCAAAGTATACGACAGAAATAGAAATATTCGCATGTTACCAGTGTACTGTCCATAAATTGTAGTATATGCAAGATTCAATTGTTTGCTACCCCACAAATATTGGTGTCCCATTTGAGGGGGTTTATCTCTTTGTACAGGTTGTGTAAAGCTAATACCTCGACATTTGACAAAACGATTAGTAGCAGCATTATAACAATAGTTAGGTAAGAAATCATAATTCAATTCCCAAAACACATGAAGAGTGATACGACCATATGGAGCTAGTACATTGTGGTTAGCTTCACGGAACATAGCATCAAATTCATCCAAAGCTAAAAGTTTATTTAATAATTTATGGCATAATCTATTCACTTGCATAATACCTTCCAACTCCTAAACAATTTAATATATTAATATAACAAAAATAATATGCCATAATATAAGAAAAACAAAAAAAATAAATACATACCACAATACCAGTAATATCACCACCCTCAAATTTGGCAATAGCTAATTCCAGAGACTTTAACATATCTGCATTAACTCGTTGAGTGATAAGTTTATTTAAATCTACACTACGTCCTAATAATTGCACATGCCGTTGTTTCAACAAAGTTTCATATCTATTTGCTCTTGGATATAAAATAAGGTATGTTCCCATTGCCACACATTCAACGCGGAATCTCTTGTCTAATAATATACTTGAAGCTAATTGTTTATAGTGGGCAAAAATTTGTTCACTTAATTTGTAGACAAATTGATCAAAACACAAATTAACTTCAGCCTCAACTTCATCATAAAGAAACTGTTTGCGGAATACAGTTAAAGCATAATGAGCACTATCATTGTATAAATCTAATGGATACAGTACATATTCCATCATAGACGGTTCTTTTGTTTTCAAAATATGATCAGTCAAGATCCAAGGCATTGACATTTCTATAGGAAACTGAATTCTTTTTTCCATTGTAATTAAATCACTGCATTCTTCATTGTGCTGATGTTTGACAGTACATTTTTGAATACGTCTTGCCATTGTCATTTCCAAATAAAACTCTCGGTACCATAATTGTGAAAGATCACAACACTGTTGTAAGGATTCTAAAAATAATTCAATGCATAATTATTAAATATAAGAGTATAAATATTGTGCTTACTACTTCAATAAATATGATAATGATTTAAATAATTTATTTGTTTCATAAATTCAGTAGGATTAAAAATAAACACAAATGGATTACAGATGGATTTACAAGGTTTATTAATCTGGAATGAGACTAAATGGCTAAGCAGATTAAGGTAATATTAATGTAACCATTAAATTTTTAGATCAAAATTTGATCGTTGGCTAATTTTTTTTTTTTCCGGCTTTACGATCCATCGAGGATCTTTACCGCCAAAACTACCTCCTCCCATTTCTCTCTATCATACACTATTACTCACCAATCCGCCCCATCATGGGTTACCGTATTCCATATCTCATTTATACTGTCTTTCCATCTTCTTCGTAGTCTTCCCCTTGGTTTCCTCCTCGCTAAGTTCAAGTCATTACTCCTTTTTTTAAGCATTCGTCTGCTCGCTACACTTGTCCGGTTAACCGGCCCATTGCATTCTTATACTTTTAATAAATTGCACAATATTTTCCTTTTTGTATAAATATTCTAATTGGGCATTCAATCTCAATTCCCATTGTTGTGTTTCGGTATTAAATACTGGACCATATATTCTTCTTAGGATTTTCCTTTTGAATTTTTTTAGTTTCTCTTCGTCACCTTTGGTTGTGGACCATGTGGCACATGCATAAGTCAGTACTGGTCTTATGTAGCTTATATGAAGTTTTTCTTTGATTTTTTTTGATAGTGTTTTTGATTTAAAGAGGGTCTCCATTGCGAAATAACATCGATTTACTGCATTGTCTCACATTTACTTCTTCATGCATAATTTTTTTGTTGTTAAGAGTTACTCCTAGGTACTTAAATTCTTTAACTTGTTTGAATTCATTATTTCCTGCTTTAAGATTGGAGCTATCTTCTGGTCCTCTTGTGACTACCATGTATTTTGTCTTTTCTGCATTTATTGCTAGACCCATAATTTTACTTGCCTTAATTAATTTTTTCAGATTTAGATCGCTGGCTAATATTTCTTCATATTACTTGCATAGGAATCAAATTAGGTATATTCCAAAATATATGTATCATACAAACACAATTAAAATTTTACAAGTGGGAGGTTTGGGCAAATTATATGACTAATACAATTAATCTAAAATTTAGGTTAATTATATATATATAAGTTCTTTCAAAAAAATTTGGTAACCAATTAATTGTTACAATGTACTAATATTGGTTGTTTTAACAATGTAAAATTTTAAGGGGTTCTTCATTTCTTATCTAGCAATGAAATGATTCGGTCATTGTCGAAAGAAAATTATGGTGGTTTAAGTGGTTGAAAGCAATTGGTTTAACATTGAATATTTATAGCCAATAACTTTTAACAAATCTCAAAATTGTTGTTATTTTACAAATAAATAACTAAATATATAATATTAAATAAATTATGTATACATACGACTGAATCCAAGAAGATAACTCCAGAAAAATGAAGTCTTATGAAATTGATCAATTTGCATTAAGTATTGTCCATCAATATCTTTTCTTAAAGTACGTTTACCACCAGATTTATCTGCAATTAATGATTCTAACATTGTTCTAACCATGTAAAGTTGAGTAGATGATGGTCCTAAAGACAAAAATTAACAAATTGAAAAATGAGTTTATTGTTAGATAATATAGTAACTTACCAACATTCCTTCGAGGTACTTTAATTCCAAACCCAACATCTGGATCCTTTTTCCCTTTTAAAGCTGGATCTGCTGAAGGTTCTACACCTCTCTGCCAATCAGCGCATGTTTCTCGAACTGAAACGAGTATACTTCTGATGAGATCTTTTTTGTTTTTAATAGCCTTTCTCAACGGTTCTCTTAATGTTAATTGAACAAAATCTTGTAACTCAGCATAGATATTACGACGAATAGTGTCAGTAAAAACAGTTTCCATTCGAGCCATGAGAACTTGTAATCCTTTTATCATTGCTATCACTTCAATGAGAGCAAATTTTTCTTCATCTGTATAATTATATCGCGTAGCTCTTTCATATTCTTCAGCTTCAACAGGACATTCTTTGTTTTGATGGTGATCAGTAGGGTGAAGTAATTTCCAAGAATAAAGTTCAGTGACAACACTAGTCCATTCAGATAATAATTGTAAGCCTCGTAATGCTAATTCAGCTGTATCTTTGTTTTCGGTATCAGTTCTAGTTTCTTTATAAGTTGTTGTTACTTCGTTACTGTATCGAGCCAATTCACTAATATACTTCACATGATCTTCTCTGATTTGAGGTAAATGAACCATGAGGTCAGCTTGTGGACTAATTTGTGGAGAACTGGATAACGGCCAACGCCCAGGCTCAAAATGTTTAGATCGTTTTATATAATTAAACGGTGCTATTTGCATATCTCCAAATAAGGGTACAACTTCCAGATTCTAAAATATAAAATAAACAAAAATTTAAGAATAAATAATTACACAAATAAAATAATTTTAAACCTTAAAAATTCTGTCAATTTTTCCCAAATTAAGTTTTTTCTTCTGATCTAATTTGTTAATATTACACAATTCATTGTCCATAAGAAACAATCCAAAACCCATGACCTAAAAAAAAATATTTTAACTAACAAAATAGATAATGATGTTAATTTAATAAATATAAACTAAACTTAATAATTTAATTAAATCAGTTTTCAAAAATGCACAGTAAAAAAATCATCAGAAATTAGTAACATTTACCTTAACAAGCATATGTTTTTCCGATGGAGTAAGGTACATTTTAGATTCAAACATTTGGACACATAAATTGACAACATCAGACAAAAGATCTTCATAAGCAGGAATTTTTTCTAAGTTTTCTTTAACGGTATCTCTAATTTTATTTTGTGTAGCTAAAAACATGGATAAATTTTGGGATTCTTGTAATGTATGAGAATCAGCCATCACTTTTAAAAATTGTGCAGCTCGGCGGTAGCTTGAATAATCATTTTTCACACTAGATTTCATATTTTTTAATTCATCAAGAACAGCAAACATATTGATAAATTTTCCAAGGGTTAATAAGTATGCTTCAGATACAAAATCCTTTCGTTTTTCAGCATGACACAAGCGTTTAACCTCTCCACAAAATCGTTCAATAGCTTTCCTCTAAACAATTAAATTAATTAAATTACAATACTTTCATGACTTAAAAATTAAAAAACCTTTTTTTAAAAAAGTTAATCCCTACATGCAGTTTTACAATCTTTTCATAAAATAAAATAATTTGTTGGTTTTAAGTATTTAAAATGATTGAGAAATTTAAATTTACCATGTACAACTTTGAGTTTTGACTGCTTTACGTTACAATTAAAAGTTTATATATTAAAAAAAAATACTTAAATTTTTTACTCAAAAAATAAGCGAATAACATTTTTATCAGATAATTCAAGATTAAGTTAGATTATGTTACTGAATACTTAATGATATGTATTTATATTGCTTTTATAATATTTATCTATTATATCATTTGATTACCTGAAAATGCATAAACTGTAATAATTTATTAACTTCTGGTCCTAAGACCTCAACGGTTTTTTCATAAATCTCTGCTCGATTAGGTTGCTCATTTGATTTTGGCTGTGGAATTGCTCTAGAACAACAACGCCATGTATAAAGCATAACTGCATGCACTTGACCTTCCTCCAACAATTCATTCTGAAGGAAACATAAAAATAAGTTAACTGTAAGTAATATATATATAAATATATATTAAATATCTCACAAGACTAGCATGAACAGTAGCTTCTTCAATATATTTTGCTATTCCTGTAACGAATCCGTTTCGATCTTCAAAATTTGTATCGAAGTCTGCCTGATAAAGAATTGAACATGGCTGTGCTTCTATACATGGTTGTTCATCAGGCAGAGTAAGCTCATCAAGTACATCTACATTTGACAATGCATCCGTTAGCGTTACTTTGTCCGTAGCCATGTTCTAAATAAAAATAATATGTCATCAGAAAAAATATAGTACTATACTGCATAGAAACTGAATTACTTTAGTTGTAAGCTATAAGGTATCGTTCTTCGAAATTTTCAGTTGAAGCGCAATTACGACAGGCAAGTAATTAAACTGGAACTGCTAATTGTGTAATGTAAATAATCATTTTTCAATTATTTAATTGAATTTCGTGAATTATTAAAATTAAATTGAAAACTGTAAACAACATAATTATCAGATAAAAATATTTTTGTCAAGTCGTCCCTAACATCAGTGTTTACTGATAACGTTTATGAATTCAGAGTAGGTACATGAACCAATATCGATTTGCTTACATTTTTCTGGAGTTCGATATGATGTTAGCGTCGAATGCAGCTGAGCATTATATCTGTCGGTGATAACGACGGGCGTTCCGCGCAATTTTGAATTATTTTAACCGAACATCAAAAAATGACACGTTCAAATTTAAACCGTTGTCTTTACAACACGAAAAAAAAAATAATAAAATAAAATAAAAACAAAATTTTATATTTAAATTGATTGTATTAGACCAAGGAAGGCATCAAGGATTGCTGTAAAAACTCAAAATTATTAACACACCAAATTATATATTTGATAATATATTATAATGTAAATAAATAAAAAATAATAATAATAAATAAATAATTTATGATATAAATTTGAGCGTTTCTTTCTTACGTTTCTTTGTTATACTTAATGACAACTCTTCTACTCTTGAACCCATAATAGCCAGCGTGTCTCAAGGATCAATGCTTGGCAGTAGCGCACACAGGATTTTTTTTTTGGGGGTGGGTGGTACAAGGTAAAAATATAACACATTTTAAAATTAACAAAATTATCCAAATCCTTTATATATTTTGATTTAAATAAAAGCGTTGGTAATAGAATAGACTATTCTATAATCAATGATACTAGGTATTTTTTAGGTTTGTTTCCCATGATTTTTCAATCGTTACTTGTTAGCTTAGGTTATTGTTACAATATATTCCATTTTTTTTTTTTTTGTTTTTTTTGGGTATAACCGTGATAACAGTACAATCGTAATAAAAAAGGGATGGATGATCGACGGTGCTTGACATTTATTATTGAACAAAAGCCTGATATTCCGTGACGTGACAATATTATTATGACACGAATTTTGTTTACTCATACGTTTTGTGTAGAGCGTGAAAATATTTTATTCTAATTATACGTCGAGTATAAAATATTTAAGTTAGTTGAATTTAACGAATTAATTTAATTTTACATTTTTTAATTTGTCAATCGATACATTACTTATATTCAATACTACTTATTATATATTATTAATTATAGTATAAGATTATATGTCTAATAAATTATATTGTATAATCGTCATGTTCTTATTAGCTTTTCAACTTGGTCTTATATTTTATTTCTTATTACAATCAAATACTACAGGGTTTTTTACTTTAGAAAAAATATTTTAACGAAATAGTTAATATTACAATGTATGAATACTTAAGCCTCGCGTTATTACGTGTACATTTGTAACGTAGGTATTTCTATTTTATGGAACTTTTAATGTGAAGAGTTTTTCCAAAGTTAAATTATAAATCTTTAATTATTGAAGTTAGTTATGATTAACTTATAAAAATATAAAAAATAATACAAAGTAAGTAGAGTAATGCCTATTGCGATGGTCAGAAGTAATGTCGAAATACTCGTTGTTGAATGTTTTCATTCGCGTTCCTTTTCTGCTTATTCGCGTGAAATTTACAAATGTGCTCTACTAAAAATAATAACATAGAAATGCTTATGCCGTAACTGAGAAATAATAATGCCGGATAGATTTCTTTCATAGATACGCTGTCAAAATGTAGTACGACCGAGTTGGCCGAATCACACTTTTGTTTCTGCGGCAGTGTATTCTTGGATATTCGATGTTTTAAGCCAATTTCATGTTGTTGAATGATTCTAGAGGAGTAATAAAATGACAATAAATTGTAAAATCATAAAATTTATAAATAGTGTACAAGGCATTTTTTTAAACTTATGTTGTGAACGTCGTAAGTGTCTTTAAAACGTTATTAAGAAAAACTAAACAATTATTTATTTTATCTTTTTACAAAATGTTTTAAGTAATGACTCTCCTCTAATGTTATAATCATATTTTTGTAAATAATTTAATAGAAAATACATATGGTGGGTTGAAATTTAGTTAGAATATTTAATCTTTCGGAACTGTTTGTTTCTGTTTCAACATACAAGTTTTTCATAAACAATATAACCAAATAAATTAAAATTTAAATACATACTTTTGTTTGAATACGTCCTTATATCCTGACTTTTTCACTATGTATAAAGTTAGTAGTGGTATTTTAAATAATTCTAATTCAGATAAACTACATTTTTCATTTTCTTTCCATTTTCTAGCTATTATCTGATATGCCAATGTAATTTCTCCCTAAAAAAAAATTAATAACTCTTAGTTTTATTTTATACTCAATGTATTTATAGTTTTAATCAATGATTTACCAAAAATGAGTGAAATTCATTACGAACTCGTTCGATTCCTATCTCTGGATTCGTAAATGCTTTTTTCATTTGCGGTTTCATCTTTTCAGTGTATATTTTTTTAATATTTTCATCCATTGTTTCCTATAAATATAATTACACTGAAAATATTACAAGTTTTTTTTTTTTTTACAATCAATATGAATACATGGAATAATAATGTGTTTTACAAAAAAAAAAAAAAATGAATGTAAACGTGAAACTTGCGATTAATAACTATATATAACTATATACTCCTAATCTCTCTGATGAATCCCACTGTTTTCAGATTTTTCAAGAATCAAAAATTCCTTGAAATATGTCTCAAAATCTCTTCCTATTTTAGACTCAGTCATTGCATCTCTCTCTGATTTTTCAACTATATTCCACAATTCCCAATATAGTTCCCAAATCTATGACATGCCCTTTTCTTCTCTAGTTTTCAGTCTACCTACTATCTTCTTAATTTCCTCAGTCACTCACCCAAAATCTTAGCTTCATTCCCAAATATCTTTGTTAACTCCCTTTTTTCGGACTAGATTTCTTCCAATTGACAAAATTAGCTCCTTCTTTTCATTGAGGGATATCATTTTTCTGCTCTTCGGGATTTAATTTTTCATACTTTCCATTAACTTATCGTTTTCTTCCAACCTCCACCCATCGGAATTTTCACCGAAGCGTCATTAATCATGCTCCCTAATTTATTATGTTTTGCAACATAAATAACTTTTAATAACTGTATTTTCAGAAAAACACATAATTGTCAAGCTATAATATATTTTGGATAAAAGCAACAAAAGTAATAATAAAAGAAAACCTATAGTATGATCAAAAAAGTATGTTATATTAAGTATTGAAATAATAATTTTTTTTATTTTTTTTCACTTAAGGTAATTATTGAATATTTAAATTTATTATACTCTTAATATTTTCAAATATACGGTATTAAAATTTTTAGTAACCATATTCATAAGCAAAAATAGTATAGTATTGATGCTTAATAGAATACCTTGCATGGTTTTCATAATATATGTGTAGAATACTGTACTCTATCTATACGCCACGATAATAATTCTTAATTAATTTGATCTTGATTAATCATTTTGAATGATATTTTATATTTTTAACGTCAAAATGTTTATTATAAAACTGGAATGTATAAAAAAAATTACATACTACGAAAAATGAATTTAATTGAAAATAAAAGCAAATTATTAAATATTATGTAAAATATCTTTTGGTGGCATATATAAGTACGAGTATGTTTTAGCGGAAACTAGACATAAATAATTTATGTAATTATTATGTTGTTGTCATTATTCAAGGTATAATGAAACTTGAAATACCACTCTACGTTTCATTTCTATAGTATCATTATTGTAATAATTATTTTTTATGTACATTGAAATATACATAAATGTGTTTAGTGTCCTGCACGCTAAACGTTATTGGTTTATTTGCCAAGTCGCTGATGCTCTTGATTGTTTTGCTGGTGGATTGTAGCAAAACGACAATGTTGGCCGCGTAAGACGTGAACAAGAATACCGTGGCCAGGAACAGAACGAATATAGTTACTCGCTCAGCCAAAGATCGAATATTGGTCGATTGACCTGCAAAAAATCGTATATATCAGTTTTTAAAATAACGTAAGCAAACGGGTGGATGCAGTTAAGGACACGTCGTATCGTCGCTGCTTGCATATAATAATGATAAATTCTTAGGAAATATATTAAACGATTCTTTGTTTAAAATGTATTAAATGTATTTTATTTTACCTTTAATAAATTACTAATGGGTAAATTTCAGTTAACTTTAATTGGTTCATCCTTTGGTTGACCAAATCTCATTCGCCTTAGAAGATAAACAATACTATGCCGGTGTCTTCTTTGACGTTTCCCAAGCGTTCGATAAAGTATGACATACAGGTCAGTTATTCAAATTAAAACAGCTCTCTCCTAGCCATTACTACTTGCTCCTTAAGTCACATCTTGGAGACCGCTTTGTCTTTGTAAATATAGACTCCACCTATTTAATCTAATATCTAATCTCTCTTACCGAATTAAACGCTGGCATACCAAAAGGTGTCGCTATTGCTCCTCTATTTTTGAATCTCTTACAATGGACCAATCTACCACAAATCACACAATGGTGTTTTCCAATGACAAGCTATTTTAACTAATAATGAACATCAATCTCATCTACAAGACTATCTCGATCACTTGAAAATGTGACATATGACATATGTGGTGTAAAAATGAACGAATTTAAATCTATCCATTTCAACTTTTCTGTTTGTATAGAATGTCCTTTATAGTTCATCACTATCACAACAATCAACTTCTCCCTTTTGTCCAACAAGTGTGCAATCTTCGTATACTCATTGGCTGTTGGTTTACTTGGCTGCCACAAATAATTAACAAAACCCGAATATTCAACGCCCGACTCTGATTTCTCCATTCTATAATTACATTAAACCATATTAAACTTCGTGTAGTACTAAATAAATTTTAAGACCCATATGGACCTAAGGTCTCCAGTCTGGATACCACCTGGGGTGCTGCCGATATTTCCAATACTAATCCAATTCAAAGGTTCCAATCAAAAATATTCTGGTTAATCTCCTAAGCTCTTTTTTTATATTTCCAACCATACCCTCCACTCGGATCTTAAAATATTATTAATAATCGAAATAGGTAAACTTCACTACAAGCATTTTAATAATTATCTTACTCATTAATAAAATCCATTAATGTTTGACTTTCTTCTTTCACTATTCTTGGAAATCCTACAAAAAAATTTAAATGACAGTAATTTTCTCATTTAATTTATATACTCGTATCGCAGTTCAACTAATAATGGCACAATCTGTCATTTCTTTCATTTTTTAATGCTATCATCTATGACATGTATTGTTCCGATGCGCAACAGATTGTAAAAGTAAAACATTAAAAAAAGATTTGTTTAAAGAATAAATTGAGAAATAAAAACCCTAAAAAAAAATTTGAAACTCAAAAACCAGCACTCCTTGTACTGAAATATGTTACTCATTTCTGATGGTTACGTACCTTGTTGACAAATAGCGCCAAGGACCAGGGTTACTGTATCCAATGTAGTAGAAAGTGTCGTTTTTTCACCTCGCAATCTGTTCGACGTCCATATGAGAAATAACAGGGCTACGATGAACGCAATCATCATGATCACCATCACTATCCAGACGTTGAGCGCGAAAGGCAGTGTAAAAATATTATTAACGGTAGACAGAGGAGGTTGTCTATAAATTGCGATTGTACTGCAAAAATAATAATGTTTGAAAATAATAATCACGCCATGGCTGTTTTTATTTCTATGTGCAAAGTCGTATTAAGGAATTTTTCGCCTTGGAGCAACAATAAAAAAAAAAAATGCCTCATTATATCAAATACAGTAAAAACTGTCTAAAGCGAAATCCCATGGGACCAACAAAAAATTCCGCTTTAAGAAGTTTTCTGCTTTATTCAATAAAACGGAAAAATTCCGGATTATTCAATTCAAATAAATACCAAAGAATATTTTTTCAAATTATTGTTTTAAATAATATAATTCATTAAAATTTAACTAAAATATAGGTTTTAAAATTCATTAAATTTAAACTGGAATATAGGGTTTTTATTACATATTACATACTAAGGCAATTCAATATGACATATAAATATTTAGAATTTCCAAAAATGAAGAAGAGTTTTTTTGTTTTGTTACGGTTGCCGCTATTTTTTCTTCTGTTATATTTTGGCATTTTAATATATAATATGATGAACAGAAGATAAAATTAAAGGTAAACAGTACGACTGTTGGTGTAAGACTGTTTCACAGTTACAAAGAAGAAAGTTCGTATCGTTTATGCGATAATATGCATTGTATGTAAGTATATTGCACGAATATGTATAGAACAATTTTATCTTCTTTATTTATCACTATTGTAAACGATGTACATTGTACATACGCCAATCTATATTTTATTCCTTATTTTTGGTTTATAGTACACATGCGTGAATCATTTTTTAAGTTTATGCAAGGTTTTTACTTGCATGGGACTTATAAAATGGTTCAGTTTCCGTGTTAAGAATGTTCCTTTTTATTGAGGTTCAGCGTCTATATAAAATTATAGAAACGTGCCGAGACCATAGAAAAATTCCGTATTGGATAGTTTTCCGTTTTATTCAGTTTTCACTGTACAAGTATAAGAAAAAACGAAGTGTAGAAAATATTAAAAAATCAGCTGTCCTCTCATAATTAGTCGTCCGGGACTACAGCACTCTGTTGCCTACCCTCTTAATACATACTTATACGATACGTGATAGTATACATCTATATTTTTAATGGTAAAAACGTAGTCTTAAAATATATTTTTTGTTCTCATAAATAAATAAATCTAAAAGCGCATTATTCACAGTTATGATTATATTATATTATATTATATTATTGTTATGATTATATTCATCATCATTCGTTGTTGTACTGGTCAAACAACGACGCGTCACTAAGACGTTCGTAATGTTACGCAATGGAACAAGCGTAAATTGTAATACGCCTGTACACATATTATATATAATTGTAAGCTAGTTTTGAAATTCTACTAAAAAACTTGACTTACTTTTTTCAACGTATTTGCAGCACGGGAGTCATGATATGATTACATTTAACCTACATTTCTTTTATTGTTTACGGAGAACGAAACGTGAGGGTACTCAATCAAAAATGTCAAAATTTCGGTCCACCCTTAATGGTGTAAGTGTTACATACTACCTTTATATATACCTGGCTACAAATGTTCCAACAGTTATATCACCTACGTCCATCCTATCCGCTCTCATGAGACTACCGGCAGCCGTGAAATCAATTTCTTCGCGTTGCAGTAATCCTATCATGCCACTGTACGTTCCGTTCCCGTGATTCCATCCGTAGTCAGGAGAAAAAGTCAAATTCAATCTTAAAGCATAAAAAAACATCGTTTTTATGAAGAGCAGCGTAATTAGTAGCAATTAATACTAACGTGAAATTTAACTGTTCCGCTAGTATTACGGAGACGGTGTAGTGCATATAAGCGAACACGTCTAGATTTAAAGTTCTTGGAGGTTTGTCAAACCCGAAAAAATCTTTCGGTTCGAGAATCTGCAGATGAACAATACATTTTTTAAGCTCGACTAATATAAGATTTGGTAAGACTTTACCGTACTGGTCTCTATAGCGATCCGAATACGCGAGATGCGGTTTAAGGTATGCCATAACTACACTTCTACTCGTATTTATATATATTTAAAGTGTAATCACAGTGTAATTATTGTAATTTAAATTTAAATTCATATCATTTTTTCATCTTTAATTTTTATGAAAATATAGCAATAAATTAAACCGGGAACATAAAATACGTATAGGTAGGCGTATTATTTATTAAGTTCCATAGTAGATGCCGTATGGAAGAATAGAGAAAACCGCTTGCATTGTTATTGTGAATGTTACGAGTACATACCCACGTGAACAGTGTCGCAATAATCGGTTGTTTAATTTAATGGTAATTTTGTCGAGAAAACATTACGAGAAACTCACCACTGTAGACGCTTTAAGGACTGCGCGCTGAAAATTTGTCCTGTCGGAGTGTTTGATTTCAACTCGATTCGGTGTCATCATGCCAACCCTCGACACTCGAATATCTTCGGAAACACTCACCCGAAAACCATCCCATACTTCCCAGAAGTCACCGTCAACCTTTACTAGTAGATAAACTCTGGAGTCTGGCAACACGTACGCTTCACCTAGGTACGTTCTGAACACTTGCAGAGCAACTTCCGAAGTGCTTGTAATATTGCTCGGACTGCCGTAGCGGTTGTACAGAAACCAGACATTCTGAAGGTTAAACAAACGTTCGCGTGATGCCTAAATTTATTGAACAATATAGTAATTACTGTTAACAGTGGTATCGTGAAGATTTCACAATCATAGGCGTGCGTAAGACAAAATGTTGTAGATGAAGCCCTAAAATTTATGTCTAAGAGTAAAGGGCCCATATTTTTACTGATGTTGCTTAAATTAAACGTCATTTATTTTAAAATATTTGGTAAAAAATAAATTATGTTTTTAAATAGAAAAAATAAAACTAAATTTTCTAAATGTGTGTGAAAAAATTCATTATGATAATATAACAGTTACAATTGACTTAATTTCATAAATAATTGATGCTGTCTGAGAAAAATATACGAGATTCAAGGAAAACACATTCATTGGGACCAATATACCACAATATCAAATAAAAATTAAAGTTATGTTTACTTAATTATGTGTACATTATAATTTGTCAAGTACACCTAAACATTTTGTTAAGATAGGGTCCAAAAGTATAGTAGGCATCCCCTGAAATATAGGTCAGCGTATGCCTATGCCCACAACACGTGATATTTTACACACCCGCGTCACTGTACCATGAAAACAATCGAGCTCCAAGTGATTATTAGTTATATCTCACACATTTGAAATTATTATACACTATAGTGTGTATCGAAAATCTAAGCATTTTATTTTTCAATATGAATCCGCGAAGATAATATTATTCTACATGAATTGAAAGTGCGTATGAAATAAGTATCATCTAGTATTTTCCCTTGAAGCTACCATTGATATTTTAGCTGATAGTAATCTAAGCGAAAAATGTATTTTAGAGTAAAAACATGTCATTCCTATCGATTTTCTATTTTTTTTTTCGTGAAATGAATTTCCTTATCTATGGATTCCAAAGTTATTGAACTGAATTGAGTAGGTCTGATAGACTTTGTGGATTTTAATGTTCAAATATTTTTATCGAGAAACGAATCTAGTTGAAAAAAGTAAAATATGGGATCAATAATTCAAAAATCTTAAAATAATAAAATATATAGAGTTGTAAAAAAAAGTTTTAAGACTATCAGAACTTGTAATAAATACCTAAATCTTTTTTGAAAATAATTTTTGCTATCGAAACGTTGAAAATAACATTTAAGTTAAGTAAAAAAGAAAAATCCAACTATAAATTTCAATGTTATTATTTTATTAAATGTCTAATAATTTTAATTACTAATGATATATCATGAAAAAATTGGTCACTAAATGGTTATTAAATAAATGTTATATATTTAATAAAAACCTGTTTGAGTAAACTTGAAGCATCGTCACATGCCAAATCAACCAGCATCCCAGATATATACCACGTTTTATGCGTCTGGTGGGCAATCGCCAAGTTTTGTTCATCAAAAGTGATCGATATATCTTTGCTTGACAGTCTAGCGAGCAATTCATTGTTAGTACCTATATATAATTGGGGTAAAAAATAACATTCTAAATAATCACGATTTCATTTTAATGAAATTGATGAAAAAAAAATAAATAGATATTTAATCAGAAAAATTCAATAATTGATTAATACGTTTATGTATTTGTTTATGATAATTTAAGAATTACGCTCATCTTAACTAGTAAAAACAGATGCATTTTAGTTAAATATCTTTTACTAGTACCATAATAAATATTAAATAAATTGTGTCCTCCGGAAGTAGTTTGACATGGATAAAACCCTTTTAAGAGGCAAAATGACTAGTTTATTGAATAACCAACGTATGATTTTACAAAAAGATACCTAGTCAAAAATAATTACGCATATTATGAAATAAAACCGTTTGTCAGAGTACGGATCATGAGATAAATCAAGACAACTCGGTGATTTCTATTTTTATTACATAATAGTAATTTTGATGCCCCGTAATAATGTATGTTAGTGCATAAAAATAATATTTTCAAAAACATTTTGCTTCGTAGTTTTTTGATTTATCGTGTTCATGCGCAATTGAAATTTTTTCTCCGGAGAAGCAATATTATGTATTTTATAGAATTTTTAGGAGTTAAATAGTAATAAGCAGTAAACAACTGTGCATTAATAGTTTCAGCAGCGTGAACGATTTGAATTCGGAAAAAGGATGGATTTTTATTTTAATATTTTAAGCACTCTTACTTTTGTCCCAACACGTAGCAGCCCAAACGGTTTGTACTCTCATATCCTTAAATGAGTTCGTTATGCCATCTAAAAAACTAGTACTGCGGTCATTGTAACTTCCACAGCTAATTACGCAAATCGACGTAGAGAACAAAAGAATTTGCTGTAGTTCAAACATTCTAAATGTAATAAATACTCAAAACAATCAGTTGTTATTCGAAAACAGACGCGACTGTAATAGCCGTATTCAACGGGAAATATTGTAAAACGGTCGTTAAACGTTAACGTCCATGGTTGCGTGATAAATTCATCAAAAATGTTTTTATTCAATTCGAGTTCAGTTTTTTAAATTTTAAATGTGATTGGGTAAAATCATGAGTACACCCCGTTACATGGTACGCAACGGAATGAAAGAGAATTTTATGAATATTAAATGTTCATTGGAATGGTTTATTTAAAACCATTGATTTGGTGGTCTTATACGTATTTGTACGAATTTATATTGTTTTATACTACATTTAATTCATTCACAATAGTTCATATTTATTAGTCTATTATTTCTTCAAACGGACCTAAATTTTTTGAATTATTTATAATAAATTAATTTAAAATAAACTATTTATCTTTTATCTATTTTGGTTAAATATTAATGGTTTACAAAATATCAAGAAAATGTATTCTTTGAACATAATTTGGTTATGAAATAACTAAATACATAAATGTTTGTATAATAAATTATGTTAAGTACCTACTTAGTTATATATATAAACGTAATTTATTTACTTTTTTGTTGTATACATAGGTAAGTCATAATACATGATATATTTAACAAGATACCTACCGCACTATTTATTAGATTATGTTGATGCATGATGAACCTTACTTACCTATACTTAGATTTAAAAATAAAAGTTATCTTATTCTGAAAACAATTATTTTTATATTTGTAAATACTAATCTTATAGTGTACTAATCTTGACTAACTTTGAGGTAGTTATTTTATCGTATTGAGAAAGTAAAATTGTAAAACAAATCATTGTAACAAAAAGATACTTGATTTATTAATTTAAGTTTTACATTTACAAGAATAATGATAGCTGTGAAAGACTCATTATACGTACAAAACTACTATAAACGTTTTTTGAACAATTATTAAGTTAGTAATATAAAATTATTATTTTATTGCGTTTAGTAAACGTAAAATATAGAACTACTTTTTAATCCTAATATGAGTATTATTAATCAAAAATATTCGAATATGTATTTTGAACAAAATTAATTAGGTTCTATTTTTATTCATTTTTTTTTTTTATTTTATTTTGTTAAATACTATTAAAAATTATTATATTTTATAATTATATATTATTTATGATATTAAAATATATATACCTCAATTTATTCTTAAGTAAACATTTATTTTAAAAATGTCAAACATTTCAAAAATGTTATCAGAATTGACCTAGTTAGTTTTTTTAGTTCTTGAGTCATGGTGTTTTTAAGTTTTATATTTCTACTACTTAGAATAATCATATATGCTTCCAAGTTAAGTACATTTACTTAATTACTGATTTTGATACATTAAGAGATTCTTATTTTAGCTTTTATAAATGTAAAAGAAAATTAAAAATCGTAGATAAAATAAATTAAAACTCAATTATTTAGATTGATATGATATATTATATCACGATATCTGGGTTTTCATTAATATTCTTCTTAAATACTTACACAATATTTTGCACTGAAAATTTCAATTTCTACAAAGCGTGAAACCGTTATCAAATGAAATGTCCAAATGTTGTTTTATATTTTTTACCAAAGACGTCAGTTATTTTCATCGATTCGTTGGCAATGATAACTGTTTATCATTTGAAAAGTAGTTCACATGCTTATTTTGTAACATAATTTCAGTCTTATTGAAATTGCACACATAAACATAAAACATAAAGAGATAAAAGTAGGAACACTGGTCGTTTATTTTTCGAATAAAACACAAACGTTTTACATTATTTTAAACCGAAAACGATACTCCTTAGACAGTTTTCACTCCACGGTACTGATGTGACAGCTTACGAATCGCATTCGTAGTTAAATCTGAGTCAGCATTTTAGTTTGAACGTTGCAAATGCAGTTTTAAGTTTCAAACGTGTAATTCAAAAACGATTTCAACGACAATGATAATCACCGCAAGTGTTTAGTGAAAAACGTAAAATTGAAACTATACACCGTATGTAACACGAAAACGTCAAAATACATAATTCTACTGTATGCACACAAACACACATATGAACGTAATGTCAGAATTAAGTGAAATTTTGAAAAAATAATTGGAAAAAAAATATGAAAAAAATATGAGAAAAAAACGGAGAGAGAATTGGAAAACAAAGCGAAAAAAAATAACGAAAAATATTTAGAAAAAAAAAAAACCGGAAATAATAAAAATCAATCCGCGTCCACCGGAGACCGACGGACGGTATGTCGGATAGCACTTGTTCGCGGTGGATGACCTCTCGTACGCCGTGCATGCACCACCGCCTGCCGCGGCACCGTTTGCCGCACAAGTCGCACCGCGAACCGGATCGGCGCTCGGACGTG